ATCTCAAAAAATAGGCACATAAATGACTCTACCTATATTAATGTTAAAAGATTCAAGAATTTAATGCAGGAAAAAATCAAACTTTTGAACAGGTGGGTCGGGTCTTGAATTAGCCACAGCCGATCAAGAATAGAATTAAAACAGAAACAGACGACTATTTCTTCCTAATATTTCTCTATACCCACCCCTTCTCTCTCTGCATATACATACACTCCACATATATTTCTTGATTTTTATTTTTATTTTTTGTTTTTGTGTGTTTTAGTAGGAGGAGAATTCCATGCATGAAAGCAAAATATGAGCAATAGGAAGAGAAAGAACAAAAAGAAAGACAGACACGTGTGCGTTTCGTTTTTTGGACTAAATCAAAGGATCAAGATCTGTTGGGCTGTTATATGAAGGATAATCAAAAGGAATGAGTGATGAGAATTTTACTGTGAAACATTTCAAGATTTTAGTTGTTTTTGCTCTTAAGGTCACACCTAGGAAAAGTCCGAATCTTCAGCCTCTATTGTTCATCGTATTTCCTCCTTTGCCCCTAGAGATGTACATACATATGTGTGTCTCTATATGGTCCCCACAGTGAACTGAATACTCGGGATTAAAATGGGGGGGTTTTTTTTTTAAGGGAATAATAATTAATTTGACTGTTTACTTAATGAGATTTTCCTTTTTTTTTTGCATAATCAAAACTTTAATGTTAAAGGGATGTTACATACTCGGAAGAGTTTTTGAGAAAAAGGTTGCGAATTTAACGAAAACAAAAAAAGAGTCGTATAAATAATTTTCAATTCCAAACTCGACTTGCCAAACATTTGTAGTGTGTTTAATACGTCGAGTTGAAAAATATTAGATGGCATTGAAAAAGAAAAAAAAAATTATGCTATGGCATGTAGTCATGTTTATATTGCCTAGGTCCTTGTTTGGTTTAATTAAAAAAGATTATTAAAATTTAAGTCAAAGTAAAATTTAAGGTTTTCTGCGCTTACTTATACTTCTTGTAGAAGAACTTCTGAATAAAATTATTTTATACTAATTTTCTCCAAAAACTCTTTTAATCGGATAAAATACTTATACAAAATTATCTAAATTTATTCAGAAACAACTTCTTAATCTCAAAAGTAGCTTTTAACTTTTGAAAGTTCTGTCAAACAAGCACTAAATTTAGCACAAATATGTGTGGCATTCTCCCAATTTCTTATTGCTATATTTTGTCATTGTATATAACATTACAAAAACCATCTTTCTAGTACATTAGTTGGGTGCCTTCATCTTACCATGTATCATGGCCATTGATCTTTACCATTAATTGTGTAGATATAGAGTAAAAAGTCAATATACATATAATTTAATAAACATAAGATAGATCATAAAAATATTGAACAATATCAAAAGAAAAAGAGTTGAGGTGTTGTTCATTGTATCATGCAATTTTATTAAAAGTGCTATCAAATTTGTCAAGACAGTAGTATGAACTTATGACATTTCTCGAAACATAAATCTGAGAGTACTAAAAAATAAAATAGAATGACTATAATTTTATTTCTATTATTCGCCTGGTCAAATTTAGAACAGTTTATCAAACACGACCTTAGTGTATTTGCACAAGGTCCATCACCTAGTAGCTATTTTGATGGGCAAGTCAAACAATGGGGTTTGGATCCTCTTGTCTCATGCACTCAACATTTCTAAGTTGGTGAAAAATGCCATCAATTCAACTAAAGGATAAGAGAAACCAACTTGAACAGAGTCGGTCATTTTGGCCATATTTCTAAATATGACCCCACTCATTAATTTTAATATCTCAGAAATTATATAAAGAAAAAAATTTTAAATTTATAATCGTTGACGTGGCACATTGATCCTACCTAATTCGTATTTCAAATTAGGTATTGGTTTTTTTTTTTTCTTTTTTATACACTTTGTTAGAGTTTACGGAAAAGCGATATGGGAATTCGTACAAATTCGTATATACATTGATTTTCCTTTTATTGGGTCGAGATTCCACGTTCTTTATTTTTGAGTTTTTGATACACAAAAGCATAGATAACCAATTAAATAGAAAATGGACAACACATTAATAATTCGTTGATTTAATAATCATATCGTAAAAGGAAACAAAATATTTATTGATAAACCAAAATTGGACTAAAATCCAATAATTCCACAAAACAACAAAAAATAAAATTCTAATTCTCAATGATTTAATAAAAGATTGTTTTGAGCCCCCCAATTTTACCCACAAGTCCGTTTTAGTTCAAAACGTTTAGTGAATTAGACAGGATTCCTTTGTATTGTAAAGAATAACAAGTAGTGGGTGAATCTTCATAAATTTGATCGAGAATTTTAGGTCAATCGTTTAAATCGAAATTCGTCGATCAAATATTAAAATATTGAAAGATGCTACATGTACAATATGGTATACATCATTGTTGACACTCATCTCACAACATGGGTGGGTTCCGCCATAAATAAAATAATCGCGGGACCCATTGTGTGAGAGGAGTGTAAAAGTGAGCGAACATTTATCATTTCTCTAAAATATTTATCAAGATTAAGATAGAGTTTATTATCGAACTTGTGATAATCCTTAAGAGACGAATAATCCCACTCTTTGTGGGCAACGTCATTTTTAACTTTTTTTTTCCTTTATTAATTTTCTTTTATTTTCAACTTCTTTTACATTTAATTCGTTGATTAATTTCAATTTCATTATCAATTGAGTCCACCTTCACTTCACAGCAATCACAAGCAACTACCAAAAAAGTAATAATTGAAAGCTGAATGATTCAATTATCATAATTAATTCAAAAAAAAAACATCAATTTTGGGGCCTTTTGCTTTCAAAGGCAACGTGTCCAAAGTTTACTGTATTGACATACTTAGGGTAGTTATAGTATAGATAAGCAGCCTAACATAAGTAATTATTTTTTCCTTAATTTTAAGTAATTATCTATAAAAGTTTGCAGACTTTAAAAAAAGTCCAAAACCGGCTTTTACACAGGATTATAGGTGGAGAATGGTCACCATCAATAGTATGTGATATAAGGTAGCATTAATAATTCTCCACGATGGTCAGTAAGGTGAGAATCACTTGATATGCACTCCACGTAGAGCACCACATGATAGGTCGTCTACCTCTACAGGCTGTCTATCACTATGAGACTCTCTATGTTCACATAAGATATCTACCACTATGAGGCTGTTGACCCCCATGAAGTCGCCTACCACCATGAGACCGTCGACCCCCATGAGGCAATCTACAACTATAAGGCCGTCGACCTCTATGAAGTCGCCTACCCCCATAGGTCATCTACCACCATGAGGCCCTCGATCCCCATGAGGCCATCTACGTTCACATAGGTCGTCTACCACTATGAGGCCGTCAACTTCTATGAGGCCCTCTATGTTCATATAGGCTGCCTATCACTATGAGACCAATGTTATACTTAACCATACAAATGGCAATGAGTTGGACGAAAACCACCCAACAGCAAACGTGTGTACAACCAATCACTTGAAGAGTGGGGGTCACTCTACCAGAACGTGGGGAACGTGGGGAGGTTTACGTGGGACACGTGGTACCAGCATCCGCCGAACGCTTAGCAACATGTACCTATAAATACCTCAAATGTGAGAAATGTAGCTTTTTCTTGAAGTCCGAACTATTTGAATTCCCATATTCACTTTGCTTACTTCCTAAAAATGGATTACTGATTCTCACGCCGGAGGTACAATGGAGGAAAAAGCCTCAACCTCATTTTGCAGGTAGCGTACACTGATCGGAGTGCTCGGAACACCGCACCCGTTAAGGTGAGCACGAAGGATAATCTCGCAACTATTTCAGTATATAAACATGAATTACTAATTGACAATTTCCTACTCAAAATTAAAGTCGAAAATGTCTTATCTGAACTACAAAGTATCCGTTTGGTAGACCTTTTATTTTTGCTAATACTTTTTATACATATTCGCTTGTAGAAGCTTTTCATTTGAAAGCTACTTTAAAACGGTTCCTGTAAGAATTCCAAATTCTAGAAAATTGTTAAAACATATTTAAAAACTTCTTAATCACAAAAGCAACTTTTGACTTTTCAAAAGTCATGTCGAACGAGCTCAAAGTTTTGTTTAGATTTAGAACTATAATTAAATTTAAAAGTAATTACGTATGTTTTTTTTTTCTTTCATCTCTTTCACTTATAATAGAGAATTTGTCATTAGTTATCATGAATGCTCGTTTTGGCCAAAAAAGAAACGAAAAGAAATGGTAGCGTGTTTGTATGCTGATCAATGAAAGATATTAATAAGCGATAATATCCAATGAATGCTCGATTTTTTTCTTGGAATTTGTTTAGATTGAATTATTCACACGAAATTTGATATAGAGACGACAGTCGAAGATACTCACAATATTAAAATTTCATTATATATGTTCAAACCCATTTGTATACGCAAGTTAAATAACGAAAAAGATTATTTCAATTCATTACCACGCTTACTCAAAATCTGTATATTATCAAACAATGAATTTTAGTTAAAGAAAGTCCTACAAAAAACTATGAGATGCCAACGTTACTGCCGCCTATGCCCACGTTTGAGTGAACTATTGTACATATAAGAATAGACTCCCAACCCACTCTATGTATACTATTACTTAAATGTACACTATGCCCAGTTTGAGTCCATTTTTCTTTTTCATTATTTTTTTTGTTGGGGGGTGGGGTGGGGGAGGGGAAGTGATTCTTTAGAGTGCGTAACTAAGGTAGAAAAAAAATTCAATTTCTGTGCAAAATAATTTTATTGACAGAATGTGTAATTGAAAATAAATTTTACACAAGTTGAGCCAATCCAGCTAGCAGAATATGTGATCAATACAAAAATGAAGACCGGCAATATTTTCATTCTTCAAAGGGAAGCGTTTTCTCTTACTACATTTCAATATTTCATAGTAGGATAATAACCAACTTTACTTTCAAAACTTTTAACTTCTCATTTTCTTATCAGGGCATTTGAACCCTTTTACTATCCAACTCTGTAGCATCTCCAAATTCCCCGTTCTCAACGAAAATGGCATTACCATCACCCTCCTCGTGCCTGCTTACATTTTCGAAGGGAGACTCATCCCTATTGCCCATGTGAACATCTTCATCACTAAAAGATTCGCCTATAGAGTCTTCATCTTCTTCTCCAGCATGATAGAATCCTCCATCAGTGCCGTGCCATTGTTCATCATCATCACTATCTATTGCCAACAGATCAGATCTGTTTTGTAAAGCCCGTCTCTGGAGCATGAAGACATTGAAATAATAGCCAACTATTTCCTTCTTTGTTCGGGTAGGGAACACTTCAAAAAGGTGATTCCAAAATTTTTTACCGAGCGACACTGGATTAGAATAAATGACCTGATGAAAAATTTGTTCATCTTCTTCAGTCCAGTTGGATGCCACCTCCTCTCCCATGTAGAAAAATCCCAACTTCGCAAAATTCTCATCTCCAATTGTATCTCTCAACTTTTCTCGTGCTTCCTTTATGTGTTGTTGTACACATTGTATGGAGCCCACGTCCAGGCAGCTACAGTCTGCTTGACGATGTACTTCTTTGACCTCATCAACCTTTAAATCAGGCATTGGGACAATACAAGTTCCCATCAGTTTTTCTTCATTTTCATTTTCAACATAGTTGGGACTTAAAGTGTCTTTCCTGGCAGCATTCGGATCCCATGGTGGAACTTCAGCCTGATGATCTGGTCCAATAGGAACTTTTTTCCTCGGAGAACAATTCAACAAAAATGAATATGGATCCTCGTACTGAACTTGGAGTCGTCTTGGAACACTAAAGTCGAAATGCCCTTGAAAATGAGACCAGCAAAACTTGTCCTCGAAAGCAGAATCTTTGTCAATACTGCTGTTTGCTACCCATGATAAGGGTACACTCATCTCAGACTCCTTGTCCATCTCGAACTCTTCGTGAGCCATATCACAGTAATTATAGATGTCAGCATTTCTGTTTCTCTCATCAAATTGGTATTTAAAAAAGTTGCTCTCAGCTTCACCTATGGCACAATATTTGGTTAAGAAAGCAATACAAGGTCGAATATTCGTGAGTTGACATCATGCCATACCGAAAAATGCTTAATTTGATGCAGAGAAATTTCACCTGAGGCTAGCAAAGTTACTAATTAAACAAGTCAAAAGAAACGGTATCATAATAAAAACCTGCTATTTTTTTCCATCTATGAATCAAAAGAAAAATGTCATCAACATGCTTCTCAATAGAGACGCCTCACTTGATAAACATCATATTTTATAGTTATATATAATATATCAGTGTATGCAGAAAGTAAATGGCACATTTTACCTATAAAATCAGATTTTGGAGAAGTTATATGAAAAGGAAAATCCTCAACATATGATTTTAAATTTTTATTAGAACCAAGCTGTTTAGCTTGCTTGAAAGAAAGCTCCGGAAAGTTGTCCTCTTGAAACGGCCGCTTGGCTCCCATCTTTCCTACTGCGCGACAAAAAGAGTAATAATGTAAATATAACCTGTAACAAAATAATTATTAATTATCAAATTAAGAGATCAAGTATCAGATGCAAGAACAAAAAAGGTTCAGAAAAATCTCCACACTCCATAGAGACATAATGAATGTTTGAGTGCTGCTGTAAGTTTCACATCTGCCATATTGATAAAAGAAAAGAAATTGAAGAGAACAACAGACAAGAAATACAATACTGACATGTATGTCATACATTCATGATGTTAAAAATACATTCACATATGTAAACATACGCAGCAAGTTATGTTTTAACTTGTTAATCATACGTGGAAAACGAAATAAAGAACTTTGAAACTGGCATCATTACATCAATAAGATGTGTATGCAACACAAGTGCCCTTTGCCAAAATTGGCACTGTGCCAAAATTGGCACTGTGCTTCAATTTAGTCAAGTAGAAAGCTAATGAAACCTGATGCTACACCCAAAAAACCGCATATCAAAATAATGTGACAAGAAAACATGAATTTGCTTTGATGTCCTGTGGTAATGATAAAAAGATGCTATTGACTAGAACTGAAATTCCATAAACAATTAATTAATGAAAGCACTGCTAATTACATGTCAGACCACCAATTATGCAGCACTGAGAATAGTTTCAACTTACGAAGCTTATTCTTCAGAATCATTAATAATTACGAAGTTCATTATAATTTTTAAAATACTTATATTTAGTTTATACCGAAACAGACTTTGTGTTGTTTTTCAAAAATCATAATTAGTTATTGCCAACACTGGAAGCAAAAATTCACAGTAAACTGGTTTTTAATGTAATGCATTAGAGAACATTACATGACAAATAAAGGGAATTTAAAATCAAAAGACATCATTCCAGGCAAAAAAAACAGGGGGAGAGAATGAAACTATTTTCCATTTTAATAGAATAATTTATGCACAAAAAAATTTGACGTCAAACCCGACCAGAACTATTGAATTACAAATCCACTGGCAGCTCAAGATAACCAACAAATAATTGTATTTCAATAAAATAGGGCTAAAAGAAAATCCCCAATATCATCAAAATACCCTAACGTGGATTCACATATTCCTGACAATACAGAGCACGAAGCTACGAAAATGTAATTCAGAAAGAGAAATACCTAAACCCCAAGTCAATTTACAGATCTGATAAAGCTTAAGATAAATTTTCGAAATCAAAACCCTAGGTTTCAGAAAGGCTCCAAGCAAATTAACAAATTCAATCTATTACTAGAGGGGAAAGGAAACCCACAAAAAATCGTCACCAAAAATCCGAACAATTTACAGATATGAAGGCTGTATTTACAGATCGGAAGATTGAAAGTGAAAACCTAGAATTTTGCAGATTCGACGGCTGGGAAACAAAAACTGAGCCAATTGAAATAGGAAAAATCCAAATTGGATAAAGAGAGGGTACGATTAAAGATTTAGAAGATGATTTTCCAGAAATTTGAAGATTAGATCTTGTAGAAAGAGAATCGAAAGAGAATTGGATTTGGGGAAAACCTTCGTACTATTTGGGTTGTTTTTGTAGAGCGACAAGGATCCGAATACAATACTGCCATGTGTGAATGGTGGACCCGACTAAAAACTGTGCACGTGTCATGACCATTTAGTCAACAAAGCTTCCATTTGTTAAAATTCATAAATTATTTATAAAAAATTTAAATTTCATTTTTAATAATATATTTCAATGGAACATATTATTTACTTATATATATATCACCCATTTTTATTTGTTTACAAATGAAATCACTTATAAATTCTTCTCAAACGGAGGCTAAACTTTTGTGTGCAATAATAACAATTTCACTCGGACTATTCGACTAACAAAATCAAAAATTAGAAGCGTGCAGTAATAACAGTTTTACTTAGACTATTCGACTAATACAATTAAGAACCAGAATAAAAATGATCGAATATAATCATCTAAAATTATTTAGCCTCCGTTTGTAAAAAGTATTTGTGTATCCGTTGAAATATGTAGTTAAAAATAAAATTTGATTATTTATTAATAATTTATAAATCTTGGAAAACGGAAGCTTAGGTGGTAGAAGATTACTCTTTTTGTTGTTTCATTTTACAATTCTTTTTTTTTTCAGTAGTGTGGTGGCGGTGAGGTGATTATTGGCGACGGCGAAGTGATGTATTGGTGGTATTGACAATGGTGGGCGTGTGGTGGAGGCGATGGTGTTTTGAGTGGGTTGGGTAGGTTAACAAGAAGAGTACTTCATCTTCTCTGAAAACTTTTATGGTCAATTAAGAGCCAACTGCCAAAACCCGAAGTTCAAGAACATGGTTTCTGATGACATTAAAGAAGAAGAAATGGATGTTGGGAATGATATATACCTAGGTTCTAAAACGGAAACTTTTCGTGCTTTGTCTTGGTGGATTGTTATCACACGGACTGCACATTAGACACAATTTATTTTTTCCATTAAAGCCTTATACATGGCTAATTTTTAATAAATGAGTGGTAGCGTGACTTGAATGCAAGACATTTGTCTACTTGATATCATGTTAAATTACTTGATCTAAGAGCTTAAACCGTTAGATAAAATTACACGTATTGATTCAGGTTTTCACAGCCTCAAAATGTGCAAAATTTCCTGTTTATGAAGGAATTGAAGCAAATGTGGCAAAGAAACACCCTAGTCTTGCAACGCTCTTCCGCAAATACATTGACAATTCCTCTTAGTACAGTTCATCTAGAAACATAAAGATCGAATCGATCCCTTTCTGACAGGTTATTTTTCACTTTTTGTCAATATGGCAAAACTATAAACGTAGAATCATGGGTTGTAATCCCTTGAAATGTGAAACTGGGGTGCCCTGAGTGTTTTTCTAGTAAGAATATGACCTTCACGTGCTCCTAACTCCGAAATGAGGATTTAATCGTGATTCTTCGGTTGGAAAATGTCCATGTCGACGATAATAATATTTCCCCAACCATAACAAAAGCATTACAGTGAAGATATATTTCTAGGCCTGAACGTCGAGTTGCATGGCTTTCTGGAGAGAATTACATAAGCAGATGATGTACCTACTTATGTGAAAAAGCCCTGCAATAACACCTTCTCATACTCATTAGAATTATTATGACACCACTTCAGTCATTCTGATCAATTAGTTTGTTGTGTCCTTACTGATTCTACAGAAGGGATAAAAAAAAAATTATACATGAAATGGAAATCATAAAGATTTTTTTGGTATCATTATGCTGTGAGGATTCAGTAGATGCAATGAAGTGAATGCGTTGGCGGAAAAAATGAGAAGAGACGATGACCTTGTTTACCCTCTAATTCCAAGTAAAAAGTAGACACCAACACTCCAAGAAGATCACGTTGTTTAAGAAAATGAACATTTTTTTTCCTAAAGATGGGCGATTATGATTATTGAAACATGAGCATAAATTTGAAGATGGAAAATAAGCACAATTTTTTTTGGGAAACCCATACCTCATCAACATTTTCCAAATTTCAAGATGGTATAGCTATAACTTGAAGGCAGCAAGCATATGTTTCACCAGTGAGTTCTCGAAGAGAAAAAGATTAAATTTATTCTTCCTCGCCCGGTATGCTGGCTTGACTTCTTGATTGGCTATTATCATAGAAAGCATACATGCTAATTAAGGATAAGACGCATGTGTATTATGTGTCTCTTTATCTTATATAATCACGTCTAATCCAACCACAAAGAACCATTTTGTATAGCAAATTTATGGAATCTGTTCTTGAACCAAACACAAAGAATGAATGTGATGTGTTTGGCAGTGTACACTCATAAATCTTTTTGTTGTATGTGTTGTGTGATACAGTTGCAGTAATTCCATGATGCACAATTTTATCTATGAAGACAAGAAATTCTTGAACCACTTAACAGAATCCTTTGCATATCTCTTGAGCTTGTCGTTATAATCCACATAGTATAGACCAAATCTGGAGCTAAATCCAGCTCCCCATTCCCAATTATCCAAAAGGGACCATGCAAAATATCCTTTCACATTGCAACCATCTTCTCTGCATTTTGAATAATATCAAACTAATTAGGACAAGTATTATTTGATGGGATTAAGGTACATGAAACGAGGATGTTAAAGATGGATGTGTTGTCATACTAGAACGAGTAAGGTAAGAAATGAGAAAACATGCTAACATGTGAAGGATATTACCGAATACCGATTGAGGATAAACTAAAGGAATGACGATTTGGGTATCTTCTGTAGATATAAAGAGATCTTGTGATCTTAGTAGAACGAATTAGAGAGAAAACATACACAATTGCAGCCAACAAGTTCGTGAGATAATCATTATGGTATTTGATCCTCTTCGTGTCCTTAAGAGCATCCTTAATGGAAACAAGTGGACTATTTCCATCATCCATTCCTGTAAACAATCATCCAAAAACGAGAAATGAATGCTCTGACAAACAAAAAAAAACGACTACAACTTTGCACCCTTTTAGGCTCCGGAAATTTCGGGGCTGTTCTTTTTGTGTTTCGATTTTACGTTTTGAGTTTTGAATTCATTTTGAATTTTGTGTTTTGAGTGTTCATTTTGAGATTGTTGAAAATGTGTTCTTTTTGGCATTTTGAAAAATTATTTTGAAAATACCCAAAATGCATTTTGAAAATTTTAGCTTGATTATAGTTGAAAACACCTAAAACGACAAATTTGTCATTTTGTGTTTTCTTTGTAAATTTTTAACTTGTTTTCAATAACGTGTTTTTGAAAATAGGAAAGAGAACGCGTTTTCACTGTTTTGAAAAATCGAAAACAGAAAACGAATTGAAAAGGGTAAAGAGAACAAACCCTTCACTTCTCAAAAGAAAGTTCAGCTTCTTGGTTTTGGAGATTTACCGTTTTCAGTGATTATAACAAGAGGGTTTCCATACTTTTCCTTGATGTAATTCATTAAGCTTCTTATACCGTGAGGTACAATGTACAACCATATGGAATTTGCCTGCAATTTTAAACAATCAATTTAGCCAGATAAATGTATCTTAAATGACTGCAATATTATAAGCGGCTTTCGTGTTTACCAAAAAACAGTTCTTTTCTGGGAAATGATTAGTTTGTAAAGAACATTAACAAAGTTCCATGATGTAATACAGCTTCTAACAAAACATAATATATATTTTACTTTCTTGAGTGCATACCCTGTCGGCTATAGGCTTTCCGTCTTTGAACGCTGCAAACCATAAGAATTCAGAAAGTTAGACGAACATAAGTAACCAGCACGCGTAGAAAGACGTAAGGAATTGCAGAAAAGTACTTTTTCTAAAAAGTTGGGATTAATTCAAGTACAAAATCATCCAAAGAAAGATGAACTTCTGGAGAAGCGTTGTTAAGTACATACGGAGAATAAAAGCACCAGCGTCTGCAAGGGAATCATTCAGCACAACACCGATTATGTTGGTATAGTTCACATTAGCATACCACGTTGTGTAGTGATTTATGCCAATGAAATTAAAGGAGCCCTTTAACTTGGAGGATTCGGCCTGCGTAAATCTAGGTAATCGGCTTCCCACTCTTGTTTTCATCGAGTTTGGATAGTCCCCGAGAATTAGAGGCTCCAAAAACCTAGCACAGACATTCTACTATCAGTATAAACGACTATATCCATTAAGAACCATTTTCGTACAAAGTAATAAATAGCATAGTAGACAAGATTTTAGCTATACGGTCTAGTCTATACTGTCTAGTACCGTCTAGTCTACCTTACCAAACATACCATAAAGGTTCACAGTTTAAGCACAAAAAAGCTTAGTTTGAGATATAAAAGAAGGTTGAAATGAAATCCCTTTCTATATTATCACGAAAGTGAACAGGCACAAATAAAATCCTTTACCAGCCCAAGTTCCAATCTATTGCTCTTTGAGTGGCTTCTATATCCTCTGAGGAGTTTGTTTTCGACTCATACCAGAAGGAATCGAGTGATATTCCAATTGATCCACGTTGCTTTGGCTGGAAATAAAAAAAAAGATCAAAATAATCTACTTGAACAATAAGTAATTATACACTTTTAGGATGTTATTTCACTTGCTATGTTTACCTGGTACTTTTTCTTATAAATGTCCACTGCCGCAGAGTGTGAAAGAAGCACGTTGTGGCCTACGATATAAGGCTCAGTTGCTGAATTTCCAGCCCTGCAAAATGAGTGAAGAAGAATGGAACAACGCCCCGGTGCTTCAAGCCCAATATCATAGCCTTGTACAGCAAAAGTATGAGGCTCGTTGAATGTAATCCAATGCTTTACTCTGTCACCAAATTCCTTGAAGCATGTTTCGGCATATACTGCATAGTCTTTTCTGTTAAAAGAATAAAATTAAGTTCTCATTTTGCTCAATTCTTTGGTATTGGTAGTAAAAGAATAAAGTTTATCAAATTACATGCTTTGCGGATTAAGCCATCCGGTGTATCTGTCTTCCAAACTTTGAGGCAGGTCCCAATGGTAGATAGTCACATAGGGTTCTATGCCTGAAGTCATGCAATATCAAGTGTCAGTTAATTTTTTTCGAAAAGCAGAATTTAGTGTAAAGTGATCAAATATCAAGATTACCGTTGGCTAGTAAAGCATTGATGAGATTATTGTAATGTTTAATTCCTGCTTGATTGATTTTCCCGGTACCATCTGATAGCAAAAACAGATACTGAGAACTTCCAGCTCAATTTTGCATTGAGATTGTGCAGAAAATTTCTAGTCGACGCTCCATACTGTTTGTTAACTAGGCACTAGCTTATCATCAATTGCGGTACAAGTGAAAAGATTCAAGAGCTAATACAAACATCCTGTTTTGCGTTTTATAATTTAAGAAAAGCAAGGGTACGATGTTTAAGAAAAAGCAAATTTTACACGTCGCATGTAACAGAAGTCCGTTCTGGCGAGATCTTCTAAAATTTAAACTAAGCTTACTAGGGTAAATCCTGGACCAAGCAATTGAAAATCTGTAGGCATCCATTCCCAGGTCTTTCATAAGCTGTATATCTCCCTGCATTAAGACAACCAAAAGATATTGTGTGCTACCTTTGTTCTGTACGTGCAGTACTCGACTGTATAATAAAGACTTATAATTCTTTTTATTTGTTAATATCAGGAAATTATATGTTGAACAGATCAGCAAACTTACAGGGTAAACATGATACTGATTCACGGCTACGTCAGCGTTGCTTGAATCAATTACCTTACCTGTGAAAACAAGTCGATATAATTAATCTCGAAAGACAATTCTAGACAGTATTGGACATGATTAAGGACGTAAAAGAAGTTAAAAGTTTTATCTGCTGTTGTATTGGTCCAGTATTGTCGAAACTTTTACCAAAGGAATGTGCAAATTGGTCCCAGATTGTTGAACCTCTTCCTTCTACCTTGACAGCTCCTTCATACTGCAAAGTTGCATTGATGAAAATTGTAAACTAACATAAGCATGTCCACTACACCACTGCATTAAAAGCTTAATCTTTGGGAGCGAACACTTTTAATATTTCAATTTGGATTAAACCATTTTGCCAGAAGAAATTTGACACTTTAGTTGACATTCTCTCACATTGCAGTGAGACTCATGTGGGACCCATAAGAATTAAAAAAGAAAAGAAAATTCCCCCCTCCCCCCTATTGTGAGGGGTCTGTCAAGGAGGGTGTGAAACCCTCCCTGGCACTCAGCATTGTTCTTTCAATTTAGCAATCAACGCGCCCTACACATGTAGGCTAAATTCAAGTTTAATAAAAGGTGTCATAGGTGCACAATTTTGATATAGACCACAAATTTGACGAGATTAAAACTTTATTTTTTGTTGTACAGATAAGTAAAAACAAATAGATCAGGCTCGATTTCTCTCCGTATAAGTACAATATTATTTAAAGATCCTTAAAATCACTTTGTTTATGTTATGGCACTAACAAAATGATGTTTTGAAATTGAAAAAAAAAATGGTATAATGTAATAAATCATCTAGATGTAATCATGGCAAAACACATTTACAAATTTGCAAAGGAGAAATTTTACTTTCTAAAAGACAAAAATACCCTTCCACTATTTAAAAACATTAACAAAAAATTGCCATCCTAAGAATCAACATTCATTGCAAATAAATCCCAACTTTCTTAGTTTATATATTCTCTCCTTCTGAAAACTATATTGTATTGTTTTTATTTTTCAGAAACCAATTATAACAGCACATAAAGACAATGCAAAATCCACACCAGTAAAGAAAAAGTGGCATTATAAATTCTTGGAAATTTGTAAAGTGATAAATAGAAAATTCCTTTCGAGCCAAGAACACACACATGTATGTGTATGAAGTGTGTATATATGTGTATGTATATAAAAATTGTGAGTCCCATAAAATGTATGGTTATAATTATTGTTGAATTTAACCTCGAATTTTTAGCGACTTTTTAAGATATCTCAAACGAGCACATAATACGTGGTGCATGTTAAACAGAAAGGGAGTTAAAGATAGAATAAACTAACCTGATAAGCTGAAGATGCCGTCCCAAAAACAAAACCCTTTGGAAAACTTGATCTACTAATGTTCTTTGCACAGCATATTTGGATCACAAAAAATGTGAATATCAACCCAATTCTTATTCTTCCCGACATTTGGTGTATATATATATATATGTGTAATGTCTATATACAGAAATATATATATATATAGAGAGAGAGAGAGATGAAAGTTTTTAAAGACTATTCGAGGCTGTATATGTATATATAGGAGGAAAAAGATTGTATAGGAGAAAAATGGTATGATGCAAATGGTTCGCTGTTGAGTGAAGCAACAATGGTGGAGTGTGTGTGGATGAAAAGTAGAGAAAAGAAAAAAATGATAAACGTGGTGATATATATGTAGATATACACACTGCTATATATTAAACAGAAGAGAGAGAGAGAGAGAGAGAGAGAGATGTGTACATATATATTGTATATATTTGTTTTTTCTCCATTCTCGGCTATAACAATGGATTGGCATTTCCCACTAAGTATTCTAGTTGTTTCTTATGCTCTTTGTTATCTTCACACTTGTACTCTTTCAACTTAGCCGCCCCATGCTACACGTACAGGGAGATTGTACATGTAGCATTATAACATAGACGTATGTTATTAATTCATTGAATTTTTGTCCCAATCAATCCTCTTATCTTCTTCCACTTCACGAGTGCTTTGACTAATTACTTGGTTTACCCTCATCTTTCTTTCTTTTTAGAACACCCAATTTAAAGTTCAATTATGTTTTTTTTTATCTAAAATCCCGAGTAATGTTAGTCGGGGAAGCCTATCCGTCCCTTCAAGCAATCCCTCCGCCCCCTCGTACATTCCTTCGTCACCTTGAGCACCCTCTCCATCCCTTCGGATCATTAGTGGGATAATGAGCTTCTTGATTCGTTATTCAATGAAGTTGTAACGATTTTAATGCATTGAGATTATTATCTAAACTGGTGATAATCGTTACTGATTGGTGTTAGATGGCATTTGAATGATATTTATCTGAAAAAAATAACTTTGAAACATGTGGATTACTACTTTCTACTTTTGGATTAGATTGTTTTTAAGAAAAACCAAGTGCATGTGTAGTGCAATGAAAGTAAATTGACTACACGCGTGGACAATTGCACCAATACTTAAAGTTGGAAATTCTTATGCCATTATACATAGATTTTAAAATATTTAAAAATAAAGAGCTAGTCTCGATGAGTTTTATCGATGTTTTGAAATTGGTCAAGTATTGTTTGGAAAAAGTAAAGAGTTTTGAACTAGAGTCAAAATTTAAGTAAATGAATAATTAATAATTTCTTCTCTAAAGGAAAAATAAATTGGTAAAAATTGTGATACGTTGATTCCATTATATTTCAACGAATTTAAGCATTCTTGATCTAATTAACTGGTTCGACCTGATCTTTATAATACGAAAATTTGTATAACTCTGAATTCATGCAAATCTCAAATTTCGAAATTTAACCTTCGATTATTTATGTAGGTCTCGATGTGTGGAATAGTTACGTGTATCTATCGATAATCACGTCAATTATCCTTTCACCAATCATCAAAGATTTTGACTCATCCCAAGTGCGTACAAGGTGGACAATAGTGTGTGAAACATCCTATGCTAATAATTGCCATAAAATATTTTTTGATTATAATGGTGAAAAAGACAAATAATTCAGATAATTTCTAAGAGACGTTTGATTCCCATTTTTCTTTCTCTTCTTTTCAAATACACATTTTTCATTAAAATAGTATCACATGCAAATTAAAAATATTTTCTTTATTTTTAACTACATATTTTCTCCATCAATATACTATTCCAAAATACATCCTTAAAAAATAATGAGGCTCAAACACCCCCTAATTTAGTTTATATGATTTTGAAATAAATATTTTGTATTTTAATTTTATATATTATTGATTTGATAAGAAGAACAAGAAACGAGGCTCGTTGAAATTATAGATAAGTAAAGTGATATTATTATGTATCGTGACATTATACTTGTATCTAGAGAAAACTTATAAACTAAGTTAGGAAAGCTAAAAGGGCTTTAATTGTAAATGTCTCGTGTATGATATCGATTACAAATTAGTAAAGTAAACTTAAGAGTTCGAATTTTGTTCCATGAAAATTTAAATAGAAAAATAGATAGATTTGATTAAAAAAATCATTATCAACAGAATGTGTGTGTGTGTGTGTGTGTGTTTGGATGGTAATACAAATTAATCATCAATTTAGAACAAGAATGAAGAATACAAAGATTGAATATAAGATGTATGACCGAAACTCATGAACCAAAAAAAGATAAAGATTGAAGAGATATTAAGATTAAAGAATAAAATCAGTGTCCCACAACCACGAATTCAGATTGTAGCTCTGGCTCGTCCAAATTTGTACGAAGACTGTCGTCGTCCTCATCATGATCCGTGTTATCATAGTTGAGTTGGCTTTTACCATCATCGTCGCCACCATCCTTCAAGTTTGGTGGAGGATAACAATTCTCGAGACGCCCACTAACAGTATTAAAACTTAGATCACTTTTTGTTGCAATGCCATCATCTTCTGCACGAGTTTCTCTTAAAGCCATTGAGCAAATCAAAAGCGTCATTACGACTATGCTTTTAGAACAAATATTGATTCCCGGCCTTCGAACATTTTGTCTCGATACATTCATTGTTGCTTAGCAATTAAGTATTTCTTTTAATGCTCCGTCTTGTTGCTAAATTTAAGATATTTGAACATTGAAAAGATTAAAAGCCTCAACGAATACGTAGAATATTAGAACCTTAACTTTTGAGAAATTTAAGGTAAACTCGAGGTTGAGATTCTTGTGTTGACCTATTCATAGGCAATGTATTTCTTAACTATATATCAGAACAATCATGCTATAGATACAGAGTTTTTTTGACAGAAAACACTTGGCATAACAACATTGGAATATGGAAAAAAAGGCCATTCAGATTTGGCCAAGTCAACGTAGATATCAATTTTATCAAATTTTTCCTGTACTTGGGAACTTTATTAATATCAGAATTTGTTATGTATTAATTCCACCATCCATTAAAAAATTATTTTGCAAAAAGTAAAATCAAGGGGTTAGTTATTGCGATTACAATCTAGAAAATTTACGAAACACATTCTATATATAGAATGTAAATACATTTCACATACTATATTTTTAGAAATTACAATTTAAGTACGGTTAGTTCATAAGTGTTACAAATAACGCAATTTATTAACGCACTGTCTGGTGCAGATTTTCATCTTATAAGAATTGATTTTTTAAATGTTGGGCCTGACACTTGTAAGAGAAAAGGCTGCAACTGGTGATGATTTTTTTACCGTTGAATGATTTTTTACCGTTGAATCATTCAACGGTAACAAAATCACTAATAATCAAGAAGAAAATCTGCAGCAGACAACCTCTAAGATTCTACAATAATATGAAATCGAAGGTATAAAAGTTATCCTACCATGTGAGCATATAACATCGTCCTATCGAAACTTTTCGACCATGCTACCGTAAGTTTTCTCCTTATACACGTATTTATATTGGTTTCGGTTTGGACCAACCCCAAAAGAGTTCTACTCGCAAATTCCTCAAATTGAAATCAAATCCGGCCCGAATATGGAACCAGAAGACGACGAAGAGCCGCCGCTCGCCGTCGCAATCGACGACGTCGTTGAACATGAGATTCCACCGGTAGGCGTCACTGTCATCACTGGCTATCTCGGTGCCGGCAAGTCGACGGTAAAATGAATTTTAAACTTGATGCTGGTAGTTATTACTTTCTACAGTCGACTTCTCATAATCAGTGTTTTATTAACTAAGAATCTCTTAGGGTTAATAGAATTTCTAGAAATTAACTTCGTTCTACTTTCCAAAATACATCCTCTATGCCCATAAATTATTATTATTTTGAAGAAGAAGAAAAAAAACTGTCTTTACGATATTAGTTATTCAAAACCATCTAATAGAAATGTAAACATATCTTTTATGTATATGTGCTTACTCTGTGAAGTTTGGCTTATTTTACTCTCACGTCAAGTTTGAACGAGTTTTAAGCAACTACAGCCTGAACTAGTCTTTAGCTGCGGATTCTATTTACATTTACAAGATTCAGAAGGGAGTGATGAAAGAGCACAATAAATGTATTAGGAATGACACAGTTATTATTTTTGTGGATAATTATTGGCTGTGGTTTTTTGTTTTTTATGTGTTTGTGTGTGATGCAGTTGGTGAATTATATATTGAATGGCCAACATGGGAAGAGAATAGCAGTAATATTGAATGAATTTGGGGAGGAGATAGGAGTGGAAAGAGCAATGATCAATGAAGGTGAAGGTGGTGCTCTTGTAGAGGAGTGGGTTGAGCTGGCAAATGGATGCATTTGTTGTACTGTGAAGCATAGCTTGGTTCAGGCACTAGAGCAACTTGTGCAGAGGAAAGAAAGGTTTGATTGTTTTCACTATGCTCTTTAGTTTTGCAGATTTTTGCTGCAGTAGCATTCGGGCTACAAATGCCCACTTAATCAACAAATGCAGTAAGCAAGTGTTCGATATCTTGGTAGTGGCCATTTGCGAGTGAGTGCGTGTCTTTTCTGCTGAAAGAATATTATTTCCATTTGAACTGGTTTAACGTTTCCATAATTGTGTTTTGCGTGTCTGTGTGCCCGCTCTCCCAATTTTTTTTTGGGAAAGTAACTGAAATCGCAACATTTATTTGATGCATCATAGATTTCCTTGTTTCCTTTTGTATTGTCAGCTCACTCTGGATATGCGTGCGTGAGATAATGAGCTACTAAGATTTGATTCTTTTTTTGTTTTAAACTAAATTGTGTGTTTTGGTTACAAATTATGGTTCATGTTTCTCCCATTGACTTAGATTTCTATTGATGAATGAACATAATGATTTTGTGCTTCTATAAATTAGTTACAGGATTGTGTGTGACGGTATGGAAATATTAATAGTTGAAGACTTGTAGTACATTAATGATCAAAAGGTAAATGTTAACATTAATTTTGACAATTTAAAAGTATGTCCAGCTGTCTTTAAATGAGAAAAGAAATAAAAACGAAGAAATGTACATTCAAAAATTGTTGTAAGATCTTGAGACGAAATCCCTTCCGTTCTTAGTCACATATTTCCTTCTCTCAATGAACAAGTACCAATTTCAATTTCAATCTTAAGATTTTATGTTTCACAACCTCTATGCAATTCCTGGTGATCATAATACTTAACACTCTAATATATTACTTTTGATCAAACAGTGCCATTTAGTTGTGTTTGATTAGATAAGACTATAAAATCATATCTACGTTTTCTACAGAACCAAATGAAAAAGGGAATAATTTCATTTGACAACACAATGCTATGTCCTTCAATAAAATATTTAAATTAAAACAATGAACATTCAAAATAAATACAAAAGGAAAAATAATGCTTAAAAACTGAAGTCTTGATGGCCATTGGCTAAATTGTCCAATATTGTTTGTAGTTACAATTGTTTCAAATATATAAGCTCATAACAAATGGACATTATCATGAAAGGATTAAATAAAATAGAGATGCGAGTTTGGTGGGGTATGCTTTATTATTTTAGGGCGTGTTTGGTTCGGATTAAAATCCAATTAAAATTGAAAATATAGTCGTTATTGGGTCCCACTCGTCTAATAAAAGTCTACAATAACGGCTAGTTTTTCAATTTTAATCCGATTTTAATATCTACCAAACACACTTCTATTTGAACTTGATTACTGTACATTAGGTTATCTAATTCTTAACTTTATTCATTTTTTTGTAAACGATGGAACAAATAACGCAGTAGTCAAAATTATATATTACAAAATAAAAGTATGATTAAGGGAAGGGGAATTTACAAAAATGGCCAATTATATGCTTGTCAATTGAAAAGTTTCTAATTTTAATAAATCTTGCAAGAATGGCCAAATTTGGTACCAAATTGTCTATTATACTCTCAATGAAAAATGAAGCAATTTTTTTTCAATTTGTCACGAATTTCGAGAAGAACAAGTAGCTTCCACGAGAAGCTACATTAATGCTTGCTAATACCTAGTAGATTCATTTTCTTTTATTATCTATTAGGTATTAACCAAAAATTTTGGGAAAAAATGAAGATGAAGTAGACAAGTCATTAACACTAAAAAATAATTATATGCTTCCAATTCATAAGAAAATCATATAATTTCATTTCAAAAAATTTAATCTCATCCAAATTTGCAGTTGATTAAGCTTTCCACAATTCTCGGTAGAAGGTAATTTTTCTTTGAAATCTTGTTTTTATTGATAAGTTGTGTTTAATAATTGTTATTCTTGATATTTTATGACGTTCTCGACATTTGGACCATGTTTATTTTGACACTTCATTTGTTAGAACGAGATTTCGTTCTAAACATGAGAGTTCTCTACATTTCATAATGTTCTTTACATTTTAAGTGTACTTCTCGACATTTCATAAATGCTTTATTTACCCACTTATAGGGAGAAGTGAGCATTTAATGCATGATTGACATGATATTTTTTAAAATAAGTAGTATAGATTATGTGTCAAGTTATCTATACGATTTTTAATTATATAAATAATTTTATCTTCAAGTGGAATTTAAAATTGTTAATGAGATCATTTTGGCCTATATTATAGTAAAATTGACATATGTTGGCCATGATAAAGAAAATGGATGGTTTCAAGCAGTTTCTAAATGATTAAAAACTGCACAAGCCGTATAAAAGAAAGAGGAAGACAACGAAGATAACCCGAACAAAATTCACTCTAAACAGAGAATATGTAATTTACTTTTTCTTAGATTAACTTTAATTATTTCAATTCCCTCGTACTTGTGTGCTTGCGCCCCTTGGAGGCATCTTGTTCGCGTCTAAACTGTAATCTTCATATTCAATAAACACCCATTTTTGGGACTTTGTTCGAAGAGGTTTGTCCCTTACACAATTGTCTGATCCCTTTTTAATTGTTAGCGAGTAAACGCGCGAAACAAGAAGAGACAGCAAAACTCTAAATCACTAATTCTTTTCTTTTGTAAGAGTGATACGTAAATTAATTTCCATGACACATATCAGCTTCCAAACATAATTTATTCATAGAAAAGAAAAAAACACTCTTAACATAGTTTCACATATAACGCCATAGAGATTCTTAACTAGAAATCAATGTGAACATTTTATAGTCGAATTTAAAGTTATTGAGTCACCGGCCCTCCATGGCATGTTGCATCATCTTCTACCATCATCCACACCCCAAAGAAAACAAATCAAACTTTAGAAAGAGAATTAACCTATGAGTTTGAATCTCAATAGATATCATTGATGCATTTCGTTGTCAAATTAAAATTTTTGAATTATAGATTCATACCGTAGCACGTAGTAGGATTTCTGGCAAAATCCAATTTCTGTGGAGTTATGAATTAACATAACGCATAGAACCGGAGAATGATTATTCAAACTATAGTAGTGTCGAAAAAGCGTACCCGAAGGCACCAATTCATTCATACTTTAACGAAGATTCATAACTTGAAAATGAAATAACCACTTGCACCACTACCTACCTCCGTTTAACGCTTTTGAAATGGATGAAATTGGATGATAAATGTTGTTTTCCCGATGGCACCCAAGCTTTAAGAATTTGCTCCTCTTTGTGTTTTTCTTTCTTTACTTTTGAAAGCTTTTTCTTGTATTGTGCATATATGGTTGCAAGAATTTGAATAACTTGAAGGGAATAAACTCTCAATGTCTAGGAGGAAAAACGTTGGCAGCTTTAGAGGAGTTTCAAAGCATTTTTTTTTAAAAAAAAGAAAGGCTAGAGTTTAGGTTAAGAAATGCAAGGTCAAATCCTAAATACTAGTAGAAAACGTGGGCCGCATGGAGTTCAAAAGCATTAAAAAAAGGGCTAGAGTTTAGGTTAAGAATTGAAAGGTCAAAATCCTAAATTCCAATAGATAATATTGGCAGGTTTAATGGAGGTTTAAAACATTTTAAAATCATTTCAAGACTTTCCATTTCTTTTGGGGCCATTACACGTGTATATGTATATTTTTGTGCATAATTGACAAATCAAAATGCATTTGTCAAGCAACACTTAAGAGAAATTAAAATAGATTAATTTTGGTAAATTATAGGTTTCAAATCCAATTAAGAACGTTTTACTTTTTACTCTTTTTTTTTTTTCTTGGGCTTCTACAAGAACAATGTTTCTCTATATGAAATATGGAAAGGAAGGAAACAAGCATAAGATATTTCAAAGTGTGGTTGTATCTTATTTATTGCAAAAAATAGAGATCTTAAAATAACCAAATTAGGTCGTAGAAGTATAAAATGTGCCTTTGTAAGATATGCCTCAAATAGTAAGGCCTATCCGTTAACTTAGAATTCTATGTAATAATACATCAAGAGATATGGAGCTCTTTGAGAATGTATTGACAACAAAGAATTTTCAAACCCTAATGCAACTCAATAAGGCATTCTTGTTTCTAGAGGATCACAAATAGAAACATCTTCAAAAGATATCAAAGAATCAAGTAAACTTCGAAGAAGCAAAAGAGTTAGAAAAGAAAAGAGTTTAGGATCGGACGAAATAGACTCCTAACTTATTTCTCTTTATTTATAGAAAGAATGTTGTGAGATCAATCCCTTTTGTCCTTCAAGTTGAAAGTACTCCTAAAAAAAGTCTTCTAGGGATTGCATTTTTTGAGAGATAGAAAAAATGATGAGATGGATTATGTTATAAATTATAACACTGAGAAACTTTTCGATTTACAATAAGGATCAAACATTTGGTTACAAATAGGTGTTTAGAAGAAAATATAATTCTGATGATATTCTCAAAGCGTATAAATCTAAATTATTAGCTAGGTCATAGACAAAAAGAAGGAATTAACCTGTAGCTAGAATAACCTCGATAAGGGTTTTATTTGCATTATCATCTATATTTAATTTGTATATTCATCAAATAGATGTGAAAACGACATTCCTAAAAGGGGAGCTCAATAAGGAGGTTTATATGTAACAACTAAAAATGTTTGCTCTACTGGAAAATGAACACAAAGTATGTAGATTAGTTAAATCTTTATATGAATAAAAATAAGTACCAAAAAATGACATGAGAAATTTGATTATACTATTAGGTCATATGGTTATATTCATAACTTGGTTGATAAATGTTTGTATACAAAAATGTGTAATGATAATTTTATATTTATATGTCTCTATGTTGATGATATATTGACTATTAGCTACGATATGGAAAGAATTAAAGAAACAAAGAAAATTTATATCTTTCACATTCAAAATGAAGGTTCTTGGACAAGTGAATACTATCTTAGGTATCCAAATTAAAAAGGATAGTAAGGGTGATTTACTAAGCAATCACATTATGTTGAGAATGTCATAAATAAGTTCAAATATTTGAACATAAAGAGGCAAATACCCCGTTGGATCCAAGTATCAAATTATTAAAGAATGATGGAAGAGCAATAGCACAAATCAAGAATGCAAGAGAAATTGGAAGTCTTTATGTACACGACTAAACGTGAAATTTGCTGTTAGTAAAGTAAGTAGGTTTACTAACAATCCAAATTCAGAACATTGGTAGGGTCATTGGTTACTTAAAGAATACAAAAAATCTTGGATTACAATATTTAAAGTTCTCAACAATTCTAAAAGGATATACAGATGCTAGTTGGATATTTAGTGCAAGAGAAAACAAATCTACTTTAGGTTTGGTGTTTACTCGTGGATGAGTTGAAGTTTTTGGAAGTCTAAGAAACAAACATGCATTACACCCTTAACAATTGTAACACCACGTGCTTCATTCTCGTAATTATCATGTCTATCTAGATTATGTGTTATATTTATTGCTTAATTATTATGATTATCTTTCTCGTGACTAATCATATTTTGCTGTGGAATGTACTTTTTATGTCCTATACGATTGACGTGCTTAGCAAAGTTAATTATAATGTCTATATAATGATATTAAAAGAAAATAAATTATATGTTATATTCATTTAATTGTATGATTATAGTTTTGTGACTTTCCACTTTATATGAATAAACCTAGACTTTTACTTTGAAACTTTCATAAATTTATATTACGTAAATTCTATTTACTTAATTTGATTAATAATTAAGCAAGAAATTAAGTTTTGACCAGATAATGAAATAGGTGAATTTGGATTTTATTAATTATGTACCAAAAGCTTTCCCTTATTAATGGACTTATTATTAGAAGGCAACACCTTTCCTAACACTAAGCATCTCATTACAAAATAAAGTCTTCCTTTTATTCATTGGGACCACGAAACTGTCCAACCAAAGAAAATACCCATATTCTTCTACTGTTGCATCTTGTGGGATTTTAAGACTTGCACACAAGGTACTAGAAATTATTAATTTTTGGGGAATTTACAAAAATGGCCTATTTCATACTTGTCAATTGAATAATGTTTGATTTTGATAACTCTTGCAAAAATGGCCAAATTTGGCACTAAATTGTCTATTATATCGTTAATGAAAAATAAAGCAATTTTTTTTTCAACTTTGTCACGAATTTTGAGAAAAACAAATAGCTTCCATGAGAAACTACATTAACATTAACTAATACCTAATGGATTCATTTGTTTTTATTATCTATTAGACATTGACCAAGATTTTTGGGAAAAAAATGAAGAAGATGATGTAGAAAAGTAGTCAATACTAAAAAATAATTATATGCTTCTAATTCATAAGAAAAATCATATAATTTCATTTCAAAAAATTTAATCTCATCCAAATTTGCAGTTGATTAGGCTTTCCACAATTCTCGGTAGAAGGTAATTTTTCTTTAAAATCTTGTTTTTGTTGATAAGTTGTGTTTAATAATTGTTATTCTTGATATTTGATGACGTTCTCGACATTTGGACCATGTTTATTTTGACACTTCATTTGTTAGAACGAGATTTCGTTCTGAACATGAGAGTTCTCTACATTTCATAATGTTCTTTACATTTTAAGTGTACTTCTCGACATTTCATAAATGTTTTATTTACCCACTTATAGGGAGAAGTGAACATTTAATGCATGATTGACATGATATTTTTTAAAATAAGTACTATAGATTATGTGTCAAGTTATTATTGATCAATACAATTTTTTATTCTATAAATAATTTTGTCTTCGTTGTGGAATTTAAAATTGTTGATGAGGGCATTTTAGTCTATATTATAGTAAAATGGATATTGAAGAAATTTTGGATATTTTTGCAAATGACCATGTAAAAGTGGACATTTTTGCAATTTCCTCTTAAGGGAATTTAATGGGAGGAATGCACACACATGCAGAGAGAGGAGAGTGAGATTCAAACTACTTTGATTGGTTTCTTTCTCTAATTCCTCGATGCTTTACAAAAAGTTTGAGTCATCTAAGCTGAATTGTTTCTTTGAAGTTGAAATAATTAATTTAAAACCACGTGATCAGAATTACCAAGCATCATCTCGTATACAAATGATCTGCTAATTACTTTTAGTTGCATGTAGGCTTGACCACATATTATTAGAGACCACAGGGTTGGCAAACCCTGCTCCACTAGCATCAGTCCTTTGGTTGGATGATCAGTTGGAAGCTGATGTCACGCTTGACTCTATTATCACTGTAAGTTCTTCTGATAATTGAATATAGAGATTGCTGTGACTCTCTACCATTGCAACGCTTATAGGTGCTCAATCATTTTTAATTTTTTCAAGATTTCTGTAACTCTATTAGGTTGTTGATGCCAAAAACCTCCATTATCAGCTCAAGTCACATAATGACTCTTCTTCGTTTCCAGAAGCATACTATCAAATAGCATTTGCGGTAACTTTTTTGCTCATGATTATTTCCATAGATAACCTGTTTTTCTTGGTCCACGCTCTCTTGAATTTCTTGGTGGTGTTGGTCAATTGAGATAGTAGAGACATTTCAGATGCTTACTTTTTTCTGTTTGTTATAGGATGTTGTGATTCTTAACAAAGTTGATCTTGTTTCTTCCGATGATTCTGGAGCTCCTTTAGAGGATCTGGAAAAGGAGATATATAATATCAATGCCCTTGCCAGTATTATCCGTTCCGTCCGGTGCCAAGTTGACTTGTCCAAAATACTGAACTGCCGAGCATACAATGCTACAGTATGTAACTTAGTTATTCTTCATTTCCACTTGTGATAATATGTATGCATTTTTCAGGTTTTGTGGTGATTGTTAATGAACTTGCTATGTAATTTTTTTTTCTTTCATTTCAGCATGCGACTCATTTGGAAGCATTGTTGCAAGAAAATAAAAAGCTATCTACCAGAGATCTTCACGACAGCAGTGTGAGAACTTTATGCATTTGTGAACCAAAGGAAGTTGATTTTGATAAGGTACTTCTTGAAATGATGCTAATGCCTTTGTGACTTTTGTTCCTAGCTTTATGATGGCAGGTTATTCTAAATAAATGATGTATGCATCATAATAATTGTAGTAGGTAAAATATATACGCTTTTCTTTTTCATTTTTCTCTGTTTATTTTTATCTTAGTGTTTGATAAGTTCAATTTTTCTGCCTTTAGCAGAAAGCCTTGAATCAATATCATTATTGTTTAGTAATCACTAGTAAAGTTGAGTTTGTATGGTAGAAATGTGCTATATGCCTTTCTTGCTGTTTTCCCTTGCATCATTGATGTTTTTATGGCATGTATACAGTTAGTAACATGTCATTCACTCATTCTAGGTTAGGACATGGATTGAGGAGATTATTTGGGACAAGAAATATGGCATGGATGTTTATCGGTGCAAAGGAGTCTTAAGTGTCGTAAACTCTGATAAACTTCATACTCTGCAGGTATCTTTTCTAAACTCAAAGGGATACCTCAATCAAGCTTAGGTTTTATTTCCTGTAATGCTTGGTGTTCGAGTATCCAAGTTGTCGTGCCCAATGTCCAACAAAGTCTGTCGAACATTTTCCATTTGTTTTGTGCACACAAGAGTTGAAGCCTTTTCTCTTCAAGCCAGAGTTGGTGGAATACCTTAATTTGTTATTATATTTACTGAGTTTGGCGTTTTAGATATGACTCGATCGATTGTTTTCTTTTTAGTTTCAATTGAATCTCCAGTAAATAATATCTTCGTGAAGCGAAAATTTTATGCAAATGCATGTATCTTGATGTTACAAGGCTGTTTGTTCAAACGAACATAATTTTTAGAAACCTCAATAGGATGAAGTTGGTTTTGCTAAATTAGTTAATTGATTGATTAACAAGTCAATTGTTTTTCCTTTCTGATGGTCTATCGACTCTGGCAGGCCGTGAGGGAACTATACGAGATTGTTCCAACTCGCAAATGGAAAGATGGAGAAAACAGAATCAACAAAATAGTTTTTATAGGTATGCGTTTGTCATGATCTACGTGAATTCTAGATTTAAATGAATTGCACACTTCATCTACGAATTTCTTGTGTGCAGGCAGATTGCTAAATGAAGAGATTCTTATGGACTCTTTGAGAGCTTGTACCTTGTAAGTTGTGAATTTGGTTCGACTCTTGAGCGCCCTCGTTGACTTGCTTATTTGCCCCGGCTTGCTTAAATCCTCGACTTGGACTGAAGGCCTTTCGGCTATTTTCAAGAGGATCTTGAGTTCGATAGAATGTAATCCAAGAACCTTTTCTACAGATGCAATGTGCTTAATAGAGGCACGACTCATCCCTGAGGCCATACTCTGTCTAAATTTACACGTCACGTGTAACGTTTTCACCTTAAAGTTATTTTGTTAATATTAAGAAACAAAAATTTGTACAAGAATATCTTTACGATAACGAAAGAGATCTTGATGTAGGGATTACTTTAACTTAACTAATTACTATTTTCATTTTTGATTAAAAAAAAAAAATTATGTTAAAATTTACTTATTTTTTAATATTTAAGTTAAGCTTAGCCCATCCTGCAAATCCACCAAAAGCGAAGGAAAACATAAAAACTAAAAAGAAAGAGAAGAATAAACCTCGGTCGAAACAATAAAACTCTTATCCATCCTCCTGTTTGAGTTCCATTTTTTCCTTAAATTCATTTTTAATATATATTCTATCATAAAATAATTTTAAGTGTAAATTCAATTTTTTTTTTCTATTTTTTAATTAAACATTCTTCAATAAATTACTTTTAAAATATATTTTCCTCAGAAAATGAGGTTCAAACATGGGTTACTATTCGAAAATTGGCCAATGGCCGAACATCACATGGACTTCCAATTCTTCTGTGTCTCATGATGTAAACCTGCCTGTGCAAAGAAACACTTTAATTAAGCATGTATTTTCTAATGGGTTAAATTCACCGATGGCTACCTAACTTTATGTTTTTTGTCGTCATAGCCATCCAATTTGATTTTGTTTCACCATGGTCACCTAACTTTCTACTTAGTATCACCATAACCACCTAACTTTCTACTTTCACAATGGCTTACTATTTTCACTAATTTTAAAATGGGTAAAAATGTAACTTTGTATTATATATAAAACTATGGTCCTGTTTGGTACCCATTAAAATTTTTATACTCATTCTTCAACTCATTTTCAACCATACATTCTTCATTAAAATAATATTTTCCATCACATCAATAACTTTTCCTTCTTTTTCATCCACACATTCTTCATCAATCTACTATTCCAAAATACATTCTTCCAAAATAATATCCATCAAACACACCCATAGATTTATTTTTTTTAAAAAAAATTAAAATAATTTTTTATTTTAAATTAAAAACTTTTTTTAAATAAGTTTTTATTTTATTTTAAAAACGTTTTTTAAGGAACATTTATTTTTTTAAATAACTTTTTATTTTATTTTTCTAAGTAACTTTTTTTAAAATAATTTTTTATTTTATTATTTTTTTTAAAATAAGTTTTTATTTTAATTTATTTTTTTATATATAATACAAAATTACCGTTTTACCCCTTTTAAAATTAATGAAAATAATGAAAAGAAATTGGGTGGTCATAGTGAAACGTTATATGAAATTGGATAACCATGATAAAACATTATATAAAATTGGGTGGTCATGATGAAATAAAATCAAATTGGGTGGTCACGGTGACACTAAATATAAAGTTGAGTAGTCATGGTAAAGCAAAATTAAATTGGATGGTCATGGTGATATCAAGTATAAAGTTTAGAGGTTATTGGTGGATTTAACCCATTTTCTTGTCATTTTTTATCGACACATTTTACGAGATTCAAAAATATTACTCATTTATCGTTCTTATTTATTTATAAGTTAAACATTTTTTATAAAAAATTCCAATCATGATTTACACTTGGCATGAGTCGTCAGGTCGGGTTTGACTTGCGGCTGCCCGAATAGACTATTTAGCCCATGTTTGAACTCCATTAATTCAATAATTCATTTTTTAATCTTTTTTTCAACCGCAGATTATTCAATAAAACAATATTAAATGTAAATTCAAATGCCCAAAAACTGCGTTATAAAATAACTATTATAAAAGAGTAATTGGCACAAAATGTCCCTACCTTTGACATGTATTGTGAAAATTGTCATTATCTTTCATTTCTTGACATTTATGCCCTTACTTTCAACGTTTCGTGCGCCAAAGGTCATTTTCACCACGTTTTGACGATTTTACCCTCCAAATCAAATATAACAAAAGCAAAAGAAAAGAAAAATAAAGAACACATTGCAATTTTGTTTCCAAACTTTTTAAAAGGTGCAAACGAGTTCAAATTTGAAAAAACCATCACCCCTAAGCCACCACCTTTGAAGCCAAAATCCCCAGCCAACAACCGAACCTCCATACCACCCAACATCCAACCTTCACGCCAACAAATTTAGTAGAAATTGCAAGCCAAAATACCCTACTCGCGAATGCAAAAACTGTCGGCACCACCTATTTCGGCGATACCCAAGCCATTCCCAACATTCCAATTGATTCTTCACACCAATACGTCCATGTACATGGTCCTCAAACGTCCTTTAATGCACACAATCAAACCCAATAGGCTGCAGCTTCGAACACAGTCGCCAAGCAGCTTTCAGGAGATTTTTCCGACACCGGTGGTGGGACCCATCATCGCGGACCACCACCTCAGGTTCCTACTCTTCATGGCGCATCCAATGAGCATATGAGTCTTCCCCTATTTCGCCTAGACATGACAATTCATTCATAAACGGAGATGACAATCAAACCATTTCAACCTCTTTTCAATTGATGTTCCTCCACATCTCCAATCGACAAATTGCTCCAACCAGCATACAATTCAAGGTGTAACGACTCTAGGTAGGGAATCAATTGTTGCAATTCACCACTCAAACGAAGCAATTTTGGATTTGACCCAAAATACTTCCCACTCGGCTGAGGAGAATTTCTATTATTTTGTCCATATAATTTGTTGTTTGATCGATTTGTTTATGGGTATGTGTATAGGGGAGTGAGGGCTTTCTGATGGTATGGAGGTCCGGTGGTTTGGGCGGTGGTTGGCAGGGGATTTTTGGCTTCAAAGGTGGCGGCCGCTTAGGGATGATGGTTTTGGCTTAGGGATGATGGTTTTTTTTAAAATTTGGACTCGTTTGCACCTTTTAAAAAGTTTAGACTCATAATTGTAATGTGTTCTTTATTTTTCTTTTCTTTTGCTTCTGTTATACTTGATTGGGAGTGTAAAATCGTCAAAATATGGTGAAAAGGACATTCGGCGCACAAAACGTTGAAGGTAAGGGCATAAATGTCAAAAAATGAAAGGTATGGACAATTTCCATAATACATGTCAAAGGTAGGACGTTTTGTGCCAATTACCCATTATAAAACATATTTTCTTCAAAAACTGCGTTATATATTCTTTTCAACTACACATACTTCAAAAAATTACTATTAGGGTGTGTTTGATAAGGAGTCAATTCCATGGAAAATGGAATTTCCATTTTCCCACTTTTCCTTTGTTTGATGGGTTTTTTCTAGGCAAATGTTTTTCCTACTTTTCCTCACACTCACATTTTCTTTTTTTTTTCTTAAAATCATTTTCCCAGCAAAGTGGTGGGAAAATGGTTTTTTTGTTTTTTTTTTTTGGCAATTAGAAAAAATTCTAGATACAATGATAAAAAATTTTATCACTTTTATTGACAATTTTCGTGCAAAACAAAGCTAAACAAATGATATTCGGTATAGTAAAAAAAAATTTGTAATTTTTTGGTAATTGGAATAAATTTTAGATCCAATGGTAAAAAAAATTATCATTTTAATGGACAATTTTCATGAAAAACAAAGTCAAACGGATACCAAACTTTCAACATTTTTCAGGTGAAAAATTATACCAATCAAACACAATTAATTACAATTTCGAGTAAAATAATTTCTATGCAATTCAATTCCTTGGAATTCATTTTTTTTTCCACCAATTTTCTAACTTTACAATCAAACGGACCATTATAAAATATATTTTGGCAAAATTACACCAATCAGGTGTTTAAAAAGTTGATTTTCAAAAATAAGGTGTAAAGTTTATTTATTCAAAAATCAGGTATCAATATAATAATTAAATATTAAATATCTTTACCCAATTATTCCAAACCCTAATCATTTTTCCTTATATTTTCTCTCTTCATCTTCTTCCTTCTCTTTTTATATTCTCTCCCTTCTCTCTATCACAAATAACAGGTGATTCATTGCCCGTCGGAGATCGCCGCTGACGAACACTCTCAGGCACGGAGAAGCTGTAATGAAGCGGAGATCGGAGATCGCTGCGTGCGGCGGTAGTTCTCCTTACCTAATCGACAGTGGTGGTTGCGGGTTTGTGCGCCGTCGCCACCAGCTGTAATGAAGAGGAGATCAGAGCGTCCGGTGATTAGGTGCTGCGGTGGTGAGATCTGCTTGCTGTAATGGTGGGTTCAGTGATGGTGGGTTCGGTGGTGTGTGTGTAGTGGAGGAGTGGAGTTGTGGTGGTGTTGGGATTCTCGTCTCCGTCTCGGTGATGGTGGGTGCGATGGTGTGTGTGCAATGGCGGAGGGGAGTTGTGGTGATGGTGGGGGGGAGTTTTTAGGTATTTTTTGTTGGTTGTGTAGGTAGATGGTGTTGGTGGCTACGGCGGATCGACGGCAGTTTTGGTAAGGTTGTGGGGGTGGTACATTGTCGGGTGTGTTTGGTGGGGGGTTTTTGGCTATGGTTGTGGTCTAGTGGCCGTGGTAGTGTAGGTGGTGGCTGTGGTTATGTTGATGAGGTTGTGGGTTGGGTATAGTTGATTTTGCAAGTAGAGGTGTCGACGGTGCGATCTGTTTGCGATGGCGGTGACTGTGTGGGCTGTGAGGCGCGTTTCTGTTGGAGATGTTTGGCATTTGTGACCTATAAAATAGGTAATATGCAAGTGATTCGTGGTGGAGGTGGTTGTCAGTGGCTTTATTGGTGCTGTTGTGGAGGTGGCGGCGTGGTGAGGCTGGTCAAAAGTGGCTATAGTGGTAGTGGCGGTAGTCTGTGACCAAATGTTTGGTAATTTGTGACCAATTACTCAGCTGTGACCTAAAAGTTTAATAATATGTGACTCAAAAATAATCTATGACGTACAAATTTTTTGATCCGTGACCTCGAAATAATTTGTGATCAATTAATTTTAAAATATGTGACATGTGACCTATAATTATGTATATGTGACCATTAATTATATAACTGTGATTTNGTGGCTATGGCGGATCGACAACAATTTTGGTGAGGTTGTGGGGTTGGTGCATTGTTGAGTGTGTTTAGTGGGGGGTTTTTGGCTATGGTTGTGGACTGGTGGCCGTGGCCGTGTAGGCGGTGGCTGTGGTTATGTTGGTAAGGTTGTGGGTTGGGTATAGTTGATTTGGCAGGTGGAGGTGTCGACGGTGCGGTCTGTTTGCGGTGGCAATGGCGGTGACTGTGTGGTCTGTGGGGCGCGTTTCTGTTAGAGATGTTTGGCATTTGTGACCTATAAAATAGGTAATATGCAAGTGATTGGTGGTGGAGGTGGTTGTCAGTGGCTTTGTTGGTGCTGTTGTGGCGGTGGCGACATGGTGAGGGTGGTCGAAAGTGGCCATAGTGGTAGTAGCGGTAGTCTGTGACCAAATGTTTGGTAATCTGTGACCAATTACTCAACTGTGACCTAAAAATTTAATAATATATGTCTCAAAAATAATCTGTGACCAACTAATTTAAAAATCTGTGACCTCGAAATAATCTGTGTTGTACAAAATTTTTAATCTGTGACCTCGAAATAATTTGTGATCAATTAATTTTAAAATATGTGACATGTGCCCTATAATTAATTTGAAAATCTATAACTGTGTGATATATAAATTTTGATATGTGACCAACTAATTTTGAAATNTATGATCTTATTATATTTAATTAATAAATATTTTTAATTAATTAACTAAAAACTTGATTTTTGCATTAGTCAAACTTAAAACCTGATTTTTGAATTGTGTAAAGTTAATACCTTATTTTTAAACTCTTCCCATATATTTTCCCCAAAAATTTCATTATAGTGGCGCTCAAACATGGGCTTAATAGGGTCTTATTTGGGTCGGGTTCGACTGGCCCTATTACCCTTGTGGCTCCGATCCCAACTTTTGGAGCTGAAATCGTTGTTATTACACATGTCCATTGTTAATCGCAGTTCTTAAAGTCGCACTGCTTGAAATCGCCACTTCCAAGACTTGGGAAAAAGAGGAAGCCTATAGTGTTACGCCGATCTCTCCCTCCCTCTCTGCGTGTGCTGTAAGCAGTTTGCTGCCATTGGATTTTTAGGTAACAGAAACTCATTACTGTGTTTTGATTAGTTAAATTTATATTTTTGCAGTAGGGTTTCTGCTTGTTAGTGGTAAGCTCCCAACATGTTTGCTAAAATGCGTGATTAGGTATTTAAATCTTTAATTATAGTGTTTAGCTAAATCAATTGATTTAAATCGTTCTTAATTCCAATTTCAAGGTTCCAATTCATTGCTTTCGAACATGTCCGCCTTTTGTTTTATAATATTTGTATTTGAGATATATGAGGAAGTTAATGTCCAAATAGTAAGGCCCTATTTGTTTTGGATTAAAATCAGATTTTAATCTAAGTCAAACAATCAATATTAACCACATTTTCATGCTCCCACAGCTTTTCAACCACGCATTTCAAAAACTTCTATCACAATCTACTAAAAATCTAATTTTAATCTTCACCAAACGCCCACTAAATTTATATGTAGGCATATGATAATATTTCACAGCAGTAGAGTTAATTTACTTGTGTTTATACAAGGTTTACAGAAAGCTACTAATTAGTAGGTTAAGGAGTAGTGTCATTGTTTACTCTTGGTTGGTATTTACAGTGTTAGCAGTATTTGGCACTCGCTACTGCCTCTTAACATATTTAGCTATACGCCTATACCGCTGCCAGCAGTAGCCATACTATTATATTTTATGGTATAAAAAGTTAGAATATTGTCATGGATTTGGTTGGAATGATGGTAATGGATTTAGCTTTGGTAATCTGAGCCTCGGACCAGTATTATGGAATGCACCTTACATGAAGCTTGTCCTAGTAAGTGAAAAAAAAAAAAAGTTGTACATCGAAAAGATAAAAAGCAGATATATCTTATTTTACTTTTACATTTTAGAGACATCAGAGTCGCTAAATACTGAAATCTACATATGAAAGGTAAGAAATGGATCGTGCATAAATGATAAACAGAGAGTAAACGTGGAGCTCCTAGAGGGTTCTCTCCCGTACGTTGAGAAGGTGTAGCAAGTAACAGATCTTGATGAAGAGTCCGGATCACAATTTGCTGATAAGTAAATGAGCAAAAACAGTATGAAGAAATTGAGAAATCTTACGGTATGTTCTCTTTACCGTTTTCAAGTCATTTTTTGTTTTCGATTTTTCAAAACAGTGAAAACACGTTCATTTTCCTATTTTCGAAAACGCATTTTTGAAAACAAGTTAAAAATTTACAAAGAAAACCGAAAACAACAGATGCTGTCGTTTTGGGTATTTTTAATTATAATTAGGCCAAAATTTTCAAAACGCGTTTTGGGTGTTTTCAGTTTAACGTCACCCCAACCACCACCAACGCCGCCTGCACTACACTGTCGCCGCCGTCGTCGGCACCACACCACCACCACACAACCGCTGATCCCCACCACAGCCACCACTACAAAAACTACCACCACCGCCACCATCCACCACAGCCACCGCCACAACCACCACCACACCCAAAAACCACTGCCACACCACGGATCGTGAACAAAATTGTCATGGGATCGTGAAAACTGCAGTTGGAAATTATACTGCGTGCCTATTAAGTAAAGCCCCGAATTGTTATTACCAAGAATGGCCTAATTATCTTGAAATAGATATTGATATTGGTAGCTCAGCAATTGCCACCGCGATATTGCGCTTGACTTTGGGTTACGTTAAGGCGGTGACAATCGACATGGGTTTCTTGGTGAAAGTGCAGCCAGAGGAAGAATTTCCGGAGAAATTGTTTGGGGCTGTCAGACTTTGTCAAATGGAGTTGAATTCTGCAACCTTTGTTGATAACTTCCCACCGTCAAGGAAAGTTTTGCCCTGCGAAGATGGAGATGAATAGTGGGTTTATTTTAAGATTAATTTTTTAATCTCCAAAACTTAATCCGTTTTCTTTGTAAATTCAGGGGGACGACAAAGAGAGGGGAAGGAGAGAGAGATGGGAAGAAAGATAACGGATTCCAATTTTTGATTTTTGAAAACAATTTTTCAAAATGTCAAAAAGAACACATTTTCAACATCTCAAAATGGATACTCTAAACACAAAATCCAAAATGAATTGAAAACTCAAAACACAAAACTAAAACACAACATTGATTAATAAAATATTTGATTACCTTTCAAAAAAAAAAAAATCTCCAAAATTTTATATTGAGAAGAACAAGGGGTTTGCAATTAAAATATATAGACTTTTATCTTTTCCTGTACTATGATGATATATTACTGACACCTTCAGTTTTCAGTTTCTGCTATCTGATATTTATGCTTTTAATTGCTGAAGAGTGGATTTTACTGTAATTTTTTGTTGCATTTGCTGCGCATTAATTTCACTCTTTTCTTATAGGAAATGCGTGAACTACCATATTTACTAACATCCTTTATAAGAAATTTTTAGGAGTGAAGACTTAGAAAAAAATATTCCAGTTTCTTTGCAGATGGCATTGGTTGTAATCTGCGGTCAACCTTGTAGTGGAAAGTCAAAATCTGCAGCCTGCCTAGCTGAAGCTCTTCAAGAAACTGATCCTAAGCCATCAGTTAGAATCATCAATGAATCTTCTTTTCATCTTGATCGTAACCAAAGCTATGCTGACATGATAGCCGAAAAGAATTTAAGGGGGGTACTGAGATCAGAAGTTGATAGATCTTTGTCAAGAGATGACATTATCATAGTGGATTCTTTAAACAGCATAAAGGGTTACAGGTACGAGCTATGGTGTTTGGCTCGTGCAGCTGGAATTAGATATTGTGTTGTTCATTGTGATGTTGACGAGGCCTACTGTCGAAAATGGAACGAAGAACGTAGGGAAAAATTGGAGTCTGCTTATGATGATAAGATAATTGAAGATCTTTTAAGGAGGTTTGAGAGGCCAGACAGCAGAAATCGTTGGGATTCTCCATTGTTTGAGTTATGGCCATCAAGAGATGGGATTGAAAAATCCTCTGCTGCAATAGTGGATGCTATCATGTACCTGACGAAAAAGGTTGACTCGAAAACAAGAGACATAAAAGTTTTACAACCAACACTTGCAACACAAAACGCAAGGATTACTGAGGCATCTTCTCTTTATGAGATGGACAGAGCAACACAAGAGGTAACCAATATGATAGTAGAAGCTCAATCGCAGGCTATGGGAGGCCCACTCAGTGGTGTGTCTCTTGGACCTGGATTACCAACTATTGATATTTCAAGGCCTGTTGGTTTACCTGAGCTACGTAGGCTAAGACGAACCTTTATAAAATTAACTGGGCAATCAAGCTTAAGTGGCCCACCGCCACCTTCAGATGCTGATAGTGCAAAGAGGATGTTTGTTGATTACTTGAACAGGGAATTAGGAACCGGTTAAATTAAGACGCGGATCATTCTTGGAATTCTAGGGGAAATCTCCACATCATATATTATTTAGTGTTTGATACACTTTCAAGAAACCTCCTCTACACGGAGGTGAGAAAACAGAAGGTCAACACTTCGCGCAGTTTGTTATAGCTCAATATTAGTTATGGAGTGATTCACTTAGTGGTGTTTTATGATTTGATTCAACCAGTTTATGTGGTAAAGTTGTTAATGTTGTCTCAGTGAACTTAAATTTCAAAGCCGCCCTCTGAATTATAGTTGTTTGTTCTTGTTCTGTTAAAATTTAGCATTGACCTTCTGTCCTTGATGTCATTGACTTTTTATAATTGACAAGCCAATAACATTCTAGCTTAAGCTGTCCCTCCCATGTTATATGCTTGAACATCGACTCAAAACTAGTCTTGATTAAGGTGTGGAGATTAAGGCGTGGATGACTCGAATTTAAAATTTGGGTGGGCCTTTAGGTGGGCTGACCTCGTTGAATTGGATTGGTCAGACAGATTAAGGCCTAAAACGTCATTGCATATGTCACATAGGGAATATTTGTGCCAGTTTTATAGTTGGGACAATGTGCAGTTAATCCTAAATAAACTCCGAAATTGCTGATGAATGTTGAAAATATTCCTATTTGTAGTTTCCTTATTTATATGTTGCCTGTGTTTGTGGAAAGGGTTGATGAACCACCTGACCTAACTACCACTCGACATACTTTTAGTGCATGTGGAGTTGGCCTGAGTTTCAAGTTAAAAAGGATTCGACGACAGTTAGTGAGCGTTCATAGGTGAGTTTTGTTCATAGGTGAGTTTTGTATATCGTAGTATTGGTTAGTACTAAAGATGAAAAATTCGATAAAATATTGTCTATTTTGTTGTCTTAACTTGTCAAATACAACTTATTAAACATACTTGTAGAGTGCATTTGGTCTTCCGTGTCTGGTAAAAAGATCGATGCAATACAAAATTCTATTTAGGTAAGCCAAAAAATCATTGCCAAACTTAAATTAGCTTTTGTAAGAAAAAAAATCAATGTAATCAGGTTCATTGTGATTTGATTAATTATTGAATTATTTAGGAGACCGAACCAAACTACCTTGTAGGGAGCCCGCTTGTGCTCGATTCGCTCCATGGACGAGAACGAGTCAGCTCGCCAGTAGCTCGTGCCTGCCCTGCAGGTAGGCAAGCTGAGGCTCGGTTCCATTTAACAAGCCTAGTTGTTGCGGTATGGGGATAGCTGCAAATAATTATGCTTCTTGATTTGAGTGATTTCTGAGCTTTCAGTCATGTGATAGCTTATCCACTCATTTTCTAGCCTTTTTTAGCTGGATTATTCCCTAAGCACGAGGAAAGTTTCAGAGTTTTCCTACAAGGTGTTGTCGTGGCAGAACCTCAATTTTCTATTTTTCTTGTTTTTCCCATCTTTCAATGATGTTTTGTTTGCTATCTGAGAAACACTGTGAGAGAAATTTGTTCGTAGCATGATTCTTTTCAGATAAAAAAATAAAATTGGGAAACGAAACTCGTGATTGCAGTCACATGGCAGTGCTTCTATATTAGTGAGCTTTTACAGGTAACTTCACATCATTTTCTCCAAATCTTCCACTTCTCCAAGCTCTAACAAATATTCACAAAAAAATGGCTGAAGTTCATGTTATTTCTAAATGCACAATCAAACCCACAGCAGACGGCTGTCAAGATGAACCAAAGATTCACTTGATGCCATCGGACCTCGAGCTCTTGCTACTTGAATACAGCCAGAAGGGCCTCCTCTTTAATAAGCCCACAGCAGAACATGAATCTGTTACCTTCATTGATCACTTGAAAACATCACTTTCTCGAACACTCAACTTCTTTCCTCCACTAGCCGGCCGCCTAGCAACCACAAGAGTCCATGGTGGAGCCACTTGTTTTTCCATCGATTGCAACAGTATTGGAGCCCTTTTCATCCATGCCGTCGTGAATGATCTAACTGTTACCGATATACTAAAGCCAACTTATGTTCCTCATATTGTTCATTCCTTTTTCCCACTTAATGGAGTTCGAAATTATGACGGAGTTTCCCAGCCTTTGCTCGCAGTACAAGTTACAGATCTTGTCGATGGCTTCTTCATTGGTTGCAGCATTAATCACTTGTTGGTGGATGGGACGTCATTCTGGCATTTCTTCAACTCTTGGGCCGAGCTCTCTCGCGGATTCAACCGTGTATCAAAACCTCCCGTTCTCAAACGAGAGCTTCATTTCGATACCGAGTGTCTGAGGAGTATCGCCATAGACGATGAACACCTCATTCTTAATGAACTTCTTGATATTCCCCCCTTGGAAGAAAGAGTTTTCCATTTCACTAAAGAGAACATTGCCAAACTAAAAGCAAAAGCCAATCGTGAAATGCATACAAATAAAATTTCTTCCCTCCAAGCTTTCCTAGCTCATCTATGGCGATCCATTATCTCCTCCTGTCGTGTTGATGCAGATAAAGAAACAACTTTTGAGATTCCCATCGGCATTCGACATAGAATGAATCCACCTCTCCCGGAAGAATACTTCGGAAACGCAGTTTTCAAAGGGGTGGTTACTCTCCCGGCTGGGAAAATACTTAATGAGGGATTAGGTTGGATTGCCTGGCAGATAAATAGAATGGTTACTTCTCGTGGACACGAACAAGTTAAAGACTTCCACGAGAGTTGGGTAAAAAAACCCGAATTACTGAAGTTTGATAGCCTACCAAAAAATCATTTTGTGCTGATAAATTCGCCTTGGTTTGACGTATATGGCAATGATTTTGGTTGGGGAAAACCTGTTGCAGTGAGGAGTGGAAAGGGGAATAGGTTTGATGGAAAGATAACTATTTCTGCTGGGGTGGAAGAAGGTAGTTTGGACATCGAGGCCTGTCTATCTCCTCAAACTTTGCATGCTATCGAAGAAGATGCAGAATTTATTGCATCAACTTGTTCCTAGCTTGGAATAAATTCTGCTTTTTGATTTGGATTGATTTCCATGGAACTTGGAAATTGATTTCCATCTTCTTGGTTTTGACTTGTTTGCTTGGTTTAATTTTTTTGGTTGTGCTCACGCCGGTGGGAATTCATTGATTTTGAGGAAAATCAATTCTCACCTTTCTTTTTTTTTTTAAAAAAAAATAATAATTATTATTATTATTTTATTTTATTTTTTTGCAATGAAAATAAATTTTATCTCCAATTATAATAAATTCTATCACTTTAATGGACAATTTACATGTAAAACAAAGCTAAACGAATATCAAAAGATCCAAAATTTCAATATTTTCCACGTGAAAAATTNAAAGATTCTATCTTGAGAAGGAAAATATATAATAAAAGTAACTAAATTAAACCTAATTATATTTCCTAAAATACGAATTAAAACAAAGTCAAATGAATACCAAAAGATCCAAAATTTCAATATTTTCCACGTGAAAAATTATAATAATCAAACACAATTAATTGACAATTTTTAGGAAAATAATTCTAGGCAATTCAATACCCTGGAATTCATTTTCTTTCCACCCAAATTCTACACTTGCAATCAAACGGACCCTAAATGAATCATGCCTAGAGAGTTGACGTAATCATTGACATAATACCACACGACATTCTATTATTGGACCATTTGAAACACTGTCAACTTTTATATCCAATCATATCTTGCAAACACTCATTATGTCAAGACTTCTGTCAACATCTTTATGACAAAGTGCCTTTATCTTTTCTGCACGGTCAACTTTTATATCCAATCATATCTTACCAACACTCATTATGTCAAGGCATATGTCAACATCTTTATGACAAGTCCCTTTATTTTTTCTGAATTTATTCTTGATTGAATAATAGAGGTTCATCTAGAGGTGGCAATGCACACATGCTCGTCAAGAGTCGAGCTTCTGCTCGGCTAGTTACCCGTGGGTCGAGCTCATGGCTCGTGGGCAGAGTTGAGTTTCGGCTCGCGAGCTTGTCAAATTATTATTATTTTTTTAAAGATAAACCTTTTTTTTTAGATATACCCTTCGCCTAGCCAGTTGGACCAGCCTGGCTCGTGGGCAAGCTCGTTGGATCGCCCACGAGCCGCTAACCGGATCACGAGCCGAGCGGCTCGGCTCGGCTCGTCAGTCGCCCACGAGCCGACTTTTCACGAGCGATAAGTTGTTCGGCCAGTTTGTCATCACTAGGTTCATCATCTCGAATCGTGAACTTTTGAGGAATGAATGGGCATCTAGCTCCTCTAGAAAGTGGAGTGGGCCATCATCTCTGTCAGAACTTGACATTTAAGGCAAATAAAAGACATTATTAGGTTAGGAAAGAGTCAAATTTTGAGCTTGTCTTGGTGTTTTGCAGTTGTTGGGATTTGACAATGGAGGCTTAACAAAAATATCAAGTCGATGTCGGTTTAGTTAAAAAATCTAAATCAAAGTTAAGAATGAATTTTAACATATTTTATGGGATTTTATGTTTCGCAATTTGTCACACTGTTTTCTTGATTAACTTCATATCCGACGTAGCAATTGTTAACCTTAACGCGGTATGTAATATCACGAGTGAACACAGTAACCGCTGGTTAATGTCGAGGTTTAACAGGGCCACGACAAATTTGCCGTAGATGCTTCCAACAAAACAACAAATTTGAATTTGCCTCGTGGCCATTTATGTAATTAATTCATTAATTATTGGCTACAGTTCCAATAAATAATTGCTATTTATTATATAACCCATTTTTATCCTAATAATAATGATATTCATCCCAATTGGAATTAAGCATCAGTTTATGTGGCAATTATACGGCATTAAATGATAGACTCAATTGAATGAGTCATATGACTTTGTACCGCATTCTTGGCAGCCCCCACCTGTCCTGCCCTGAGTCTTGGTGAAGGAGATAAATCGCAGGTTATGTCTTCAAGGGTATATGGTGGAAGGCTGCTTATACACTTGCACTTATCCAAATGCCAAATTCATATTTCAGGATTCGAACCCTTGACGTGACAGCCTCAAACAAAGTTGGAGTTTTTCCACCTTCCCATTTTACCACTTGGAGATGTGCCCTGGGGGCTACTTCTGACATAATAAATCTTACCTTATACAGTGTTTGAGCTTATGTCCACCTGACATGTTTCTTTTTATTATCTTCCCCTTTAAGATGGGACAAAGAAAATCGTTTCCATTTTTATTTTTATAGCAACCGTCGATATATTTGAAATAAACGTGAACTCGATTAAGAATTTGTACATAATCAACTTGAAATGTAGAACCAACTTAGTAGGGGGTACTCTACCAATTTTCTAAACTAGACATTTCTTTTTTTATTTTTATATAACGATCTTCAATATATTCGAAATAAACTTGAACTCAGCTCGACTAAAAAATTGTACATAAACAACTTGAAATGTAGGGATACTCTTCCGATTTTATAAACTTTTAAAAGTTGAATTAGGTTCGACTCGTGAAACACTTATTTTACAAAGTATAGTACGAAAAAAAATAAATTAATATTATTGTTTTTTATTATACACAAGGATACAGGGTTGCTTTTAGCTTAACGTTTAAGTTGTATCACAGCAAAGATTGGAACATCATAAGCTGGAAGTATCCTCCATTTGGCAATATTACAATTATTATGTTACTATATACAGAAAACAAGTCAATTTTTTTTTTTAAATGAAAAATTATTAGAATATAAAAATAATAAGAGTAGAAAGAGATAATTAATTGATGAAACTCTTTCGGGATTCTTAACGTTTTCTAAGTGCGACGACATTGCTTTTAACTCACATATTTTATTTATTTAGAAGTTAATTGGTCACATAACACGTAGATAATATCCGATTAAAAGGATAATATTATCGAAAAAGTGTTTTCTCCAATTTGAAAGATGTTTAAAATAATCGAATAAATTGATAAGGAATTTTAGCCTTTAATAGTAATTTGTTTGGCTATAATCAATCAAATAACTTCTTATACACGTATATGAGACCCGTAAATATTAGCCATCTATCCACAACTTGCTTTAATCAATTTATTTTACCCTAGACTTGCCAAGTAAATCCATTTGATTATTCAAGAATCGGTCACTAACCATTACGAGTCTACTGAATGTACTTATGTATATAATATATCTGCATATAGAGATTTTATCTACTTGATTAAAAGTTATATTTTGGGTAATTAGCAAAAAAAAAAAAATCTCTATCGTTTACACTTATTACGAAAAATAGTCCATATCATTTCAAATTTGACATTTACACACTCATTTTAAGCCTTTCTTGTGAAGTTAGTTGTTTTCATTATGTTCCATTAAATCATTCCATAAATGCCTAGTTTGAAACGATAGTAACTATTTCTGCAATGAGAACAAACAATAGGATATCGAATTACATTGTAGTTAAAAATATTTTTATTGCACGAAGGGGAAAGGGAAATTGAAGGGATTTTAATAAATGTATAATCGAAAAGTTGCAGATAAAATTAATTATTGATTTCAACATTTAACTTTTTAGCAACCTTTAAACTATGACAACAATCACCTGAGAGGATATCATAAGTATTGATAATAAATTACAATATTATTTAAATTTTAAATTATACAAATAAATATCGAGAGACATCACAATTATTCCATCTTTAATAATGGCTACATCTCATTCTCAATGGGCGAGCCTATGGGAGTGGATCTGAAAATCACGTACATAGAATTCCTGTACCATTATACAATTCTATAGTATATAAGTATAATTTATTTATTTATTTATTTTTTCGCAATTATAGAGAATACACCTCCAAAAAGCTGTTCCCAAGAACTTTCACTTTTGTCAATGGCGAATTCATGCTGTGATTAACCTCTCTCAAACGGTCTCTATATGCACAATTTTATGTTTTAACCACCTGGTAGTTAAAATCCCTGATCGCGTTTTCGTGCATTCGTTTATTTTTGTTTGTATTCAAGATTGCCTTTTGTGATAATGCTAATTGCGTTCTTCTGGATCTGATCTGATTGTGGGGTCTGAAAGAATTTGTCATGAGAATTTTTGGGTTTCATTTTTCTTTTACGTGGATTTAATGATTTTTGATGGTCTGCTGCAGGTTTGATTTGATCTGGAGGCTTTAATTTGTTGCTTTTGGAGTGGTTGATTGTTGGAATTGGAATTCGAACTGTTTGTTTTAAAATTGGCATTCTCGTTGGTGAAAATTCTGGAGCCCTTTTTAGTTGGAGTGACCCTTGATATATGTAATTAAGGCTTGAAGGGGAGGGTTTTGTTGCCAAGGATTCGGCAGTTGAGGGATACATCATGGTTTTAATAGCTTAATCATGTCAATTCACTGAGTGATTTGCTGATTTTGTGGTTTAGTGGATCCTCGAGTGTGGCCTTTTCCAATGCCAGTTGATGTTGGTCGGAGTCTTGATCATATGATAAATGGAAGATTGCATCTGATTATCGGTTACAGTTTTCAGAGTTCCTGGAGATTAATGTTGGAGCAATAGCCCGTAAAGACTGGATTTTCTGTACTAACTTTAGGAGACGATTGCAGAAATTGGACATGAGAAGCTCTTGGTTCCATAAACTATCACTGATTTTCGGCCCTAGACCGCCACGCAACTGGTTACTTCTGTGTCTGGTTAGCATCTTTGTTCTGATTGCATTATTTGGATCATCTTCCCCAAGTGCACTTGATTCTGCGAGTTCTTCTGTGAGATCCGACATCTATACAAACTATAGAAGGCTAAAGGAGCAAGCAGCAGGTGATTATTTGGAGTTGAGGAATCTGGTAACCAATCATGTGAAGGATTTTGGTCTTTGTTGGAAGGAAAGAGATTATGTGCCTTGCTATAACGTGTCTGCAAATCTGCTGGCTGGTTTTCAAAATGAGGAAGAGTTTGATCGGCACTGTGAAATATCACGAGATCGACAGCATTGTTTGGTTCGTCCCCCGAAGGACTACAAAATTCCTTTGACTTGGCCAGCTAGTAGGGATGTTGTATGGAGCGGTAATGTGAAGTTCAGTAAAGACCAATTCCTTTCATCTGGAAGCATGACAAAAAGGTGTTCTTAACTCCTTTTAATTGTAACTTGGTCTTGGATTTTGAAATTTCTGGCAGATAGTTCAAAAAAAAAATATATCAATTCATCCCAGATAGAAAAGACGAGTAATTGGAGAGACAATTGTAAAATGCTCAACTTACGTCTTTCAGTTACAGGAATGTCCTCTGGGATTAAAGTGTGTGTTGTTGATGGAATATTTAGCACATTTTCATATAAAACACATACTCATCTTGTGTCGTTTAGGTAACTATTGTAACTTTGCACATCTGCTTTCTGTAATGTTTATTGTTGCAAATTTTATAGGTTAATGTTGCTAGAAGAAAATCAAATTTCTTTCCGTTCAGACGATGGGATGATTATTGATGGTGTTAAGGATTACTCTCACCAGATTGCTGAAATGATAGGGTTGAGAAGTGACACTGAATTTCTCCAAGCTGGTGTAAGTTTTGCCGCATTATGTATAGCTTTATTTCTCGCTTGTTAGTTTTGGCTGACTTCAACTTTATTAAGTTTGTTGAGCCAAATATTTTTTATTGACAGCATCAATGTACTTAAATTTAGTTTACACTTGAAACAACAAATATATGTTTCCTCTTCTTCTTTTTTATTTTTTTGCTGGAAGCTGTACATTAGAATTGTCATTATATGAAGATTTTCTTCTAAATTGCAGGTACGCAATGTGCTTGATATTGGTTGCGGGTTTGGTAGCTTTAGTGCTCATCTGCTCTCACTTAAGTTGATGGCTCTCTGTATGGCAGCATATGAGCCAACAGGTAGCCAGGTTCAGCTAGCCCTTGAGAGAGGTCTCCCAGCAATCATTGGCAACTTCATCTCAAGACAGCTCCCATTTCCATCCTTGTCATACGACATGGTCCACTGCACTCAGTGTGGCATTGTCTGGGATGAAAAAGGTATAATCCTCATGATTTAGGATTCTGTTCTTCCCCTTAAATTGCAGCTTGTCAGTTGCAAGGCTTCCTTTTTCACGCTGGTGACACTTTTAAGTATTAATATTAATCTTGTTGCAGGGTTGAATATTCTTTTCATTTAATTAATTATTTTGTGGGTATATAAATATTATTTGCACATGTATTTGATGCTGCTGTACGAGTATGTTGTTCTTCTGAAATCTATTTAGACCTGCTTATATCGAACTCAGAGACCTTTCAGATAAATATTCTGTTTGGTGTTCTTTGAAAAATGGAATGATTCTGGCTTGGTTTTTACTAATGTAGGTGCGTTTTTGGCTTGGTGATTCTACTCCCTTTTACAGTCAGTGTTGGTTTGCCCTTTTTTTTGCAGTAATATTTGTTTTGACTTTTGAAGAGGGAGACTGCCACTGGGAATATCATGTAAAACCAAAATATGTTTGTCTAATAGAAAGCCCTTGTTTGAGCCGCATTTTATCAAAAACTGAAATTTTTCAAAACTTATTTTCAACCACACATTCACTAATAAAATAATTTTACACGTAAACCGAAAACTTTTACATTATTTTTTAACGTCACATTCTCCAAAAAACACTATTCCAAAATACATTTTCCCCCCCAAAATGGGGTTCAAACAAGTGCAAAGTATGTACAAGTAATTTGTCAGATTCATCATTAAATTACATTTTTGTATATAATTGCATTGAAGATGAAATACTGTTTTTATTAATTCTTTCATTTCATATACTTTTGATCTACTTTCCACGAACATCTTAGTGGAGTTTTGTTTGTAAACAAGCATTGTAAGCATGATGTCTTTTAATTAATTCCAGGGCATAAGCACACTTAACCCAACTGTGATTTGATAGATCGCATCCAAAGATTATTAGACATGAGATTTGTTGGTGCTTTTTGATCCAATATCACGAGAAAGTTTTTTAAGTTGGGTATATTTGGAAATTCATTTTGATTTTAATAGAATGCAGACATTATCAACAAAAACATGTTAGTTTGTTTTACCTTATGATATGATCATGGATAGAATTATGACATTGGCTAGGTTAAAATAGATTTTTTGTCCCTCACAATGTTTCTATCTGCTGGTATGTGATTCTTTTTCTAAATCAATTAATTATGAAATCCTAGTGTTGCAACAATAAAATGTGGATGTATTTTGCACTACTTTACGTAAGTTAATTTCTTTGTGCTTACTAAACTAACAAAGCTGAAGCCAGAATACAGCTAGAATTGAAAGACTCTTGGTTCCATATGTCAACTCTATATGCATGATTTTCTCTTTCTTTTTTTCGTTTTTTGTTTAGATGGACCTGGGTGTTGGTGAAAGGGGGTTAAGTTTTTTAAACTCTGAAAGAATTTGATTTTGGACCTATACTGTGCATTGTATTAACAATGATTTTATCTGTCAGATGGGTTGTTTCTTATTGAAGTCGATAGATTACTAAGGCCAGGAGGTTACTTTGTTTTAACCTCACCTAGAAGCAGGCAGCAGGGAATTTCCATGGACACAAAGAAAGGAAGCATGTCTACTCCATTTGAAGAATTCACCCAAAAAATTTGTTGGAATCTTTTGGTACAGCAAGAAGAGACTTTCATCTGGCAGAAAACTGCAGATGCTCAATGCTATAAATCTAGGTGAGACAAGTGGCTTTCACTTATTCTTGATTTGTCCTTTAATTTTCCTGTGTCACTCTCCATCTGTCTTCTTTATCGCCCAGATTCTTCCTTCATTATCATAATCTTATTCATTTTTCTCTAAATCTCCTTTATAATTTTTGTTCTAATTTGTAGCAAAAAAGGCACTTTACCACTTTGTTCAGGAGACGATGTCCATTTGTATTATCAACTGCTTCCACAGTGTGTAAGTGGGACAGATAGCAAGCGATGGATCCCAATTCAGAAAAGATCTTTTGGTTCTCTGAGCTCTGCTGAGCTTGAAGTCCATGGTAAGTATAACAATTTTAATACTGTATGACTACTGCATATTTAGACTCTCTTGTCTTCAGTTTGAATAACATGCTAGAATTTGCTTCTTCCACTCACAAATAGTTGGTATAATAACTCAACTGGCATGTAGGAGTTAATCCTGAAGATTTCTCTGAAGACATGGAATTCTGGAGATCTGCTTTAAGAAATTATTGGTCATTGCTTTCACCCTTGATTTTCTCTGACCATCCAAAGAGACCAGGAGATGAAGATCCGTTGCCTCCGTATAATATGGTTCGGAATGTGATGGACATGAGCGCCAATTATGGAGGTTTAAATGCTGCATTACTGGAAGCAAGAAAATCAGTGTGGGTAATGAATGTTGTGCCGACAAGTGAACATAAAACACTTCCTCTCATCCTTGACCGAGGTTTTACGGGCATCTTGCATGACTGGTAAGATGGGGTAATTACAGATGGCCCTTTTAGTACTGGCAGGCCTGTTGTAGGCTTACCACTAGTTTTGGCATCATCTTCAATTTGATAGAACAATACGCTCTAGACTTGAAATATGTTTTCTATGGAACATCTTTTACAAGAAGAGTTAGTAAGAAATCTTTTGCCTGAAAAATCATTCTTTAACACACAAAGTTGTTTTCATTTATGTGTTAGAAAAGGAAAAAAAAATTATTATTCGTTAAATCAAGGTTAGCTTGAGAGTATGATGCAATGCTATGTTGAATCCTCTTGGCATATGTAGATATATGTTCCAACTTCTTAAATTCCATTAACTGCAACTTTAAGAACCCAAAACTAAGTTCATCCACTCAAAACAAAACATAAATTATTGAGCAAATTATACTCTGAACTCATTGATTCCATGCGATTTATCTCGTATACTTGCAGGTAATCTTGAAGTTACGTGCAAAGGCATCATGTCTTTTTGTGTTTTCTCGTCTTTTGCCAAATCAAAATTTATTCCAATTTATATGCTTAAACATCGGCTTGAAGTTACGTTGTAGGCATCATGTCTTCCATGTTTTGTCTTTTGCCCCTTCCATGGTTTGCATCCTTGGATTGCAGCTCTTTTTTTCAGTTCCCCCTAAATTTGTCCATCGACAAGTGTATTACAACTTGACTTCTATAATAACTTTCCCATAAAGCTGATTTTGATATTCTAACATCGAATACAGGTGTGAACCTTTTCCTACTTACCCACGGACGTATGACATGCTTCATGCCAACGGACTCCTGTCACATCTTGCTTCAGAGGGATGCAGTATGATTGATTTACTATTCGAAATGGATCGTATTCTTCGGCCAGAGGTAATTGTTCATGGAACTTGTTAATTCATTGCCCAAATGTTCACTTATAATTGGAATAATACTTGTCCCATTACTCTAAAAGTTATTCCTCGTGCGTGCATAGTTCCTTGTACTTGCTTTGGACACGTCTTGGTTCTTGAATTTATTTGAGAGATTTTTGCCTGTTGGCAGGGATGGGTTATTATTTCCGATAAGGTTGGTCCTATAGAAAGAGCACGAACGCTCGCTACACAGCTTCGCTGGGAAGCCCGCGTCATTGATCTTCAGAATGGCAGTGACCAGCGGCTACTAGTATGTCAAAAGCCCTTTTTGAGAAAATAATTTTCCACTTCTAAAGCTCTCACCGTCCCTAGGACCATCCAGTTTTTCGTACTCTGGTAAGTCCTTTACCCTCATCTCTGAATTGTGAACTAGTCGGATTATCGTTTGAAGTGTCTTCTATATATAGTTTTGATGCAATAAAATCACTTGCTCCACTTTTTTACATTTATCATACATGTACACCAGGATCCAATCCTGCGCAATATGGTCTTGATGTGGACAGAAATATCAGCCGAGGATATTGGAAACAGAAAATTTTTGAAGTCGTAGATTAGAAGAAGGTTTGCTGCAGAAGTAATCCCAGTTCAGTTCAAGAAAACCAAGAAGATTTTTCCCCTTCAAAAGGAGTGTGTTGTAGAAAATCATTCAGCTGTTCTCAATCTTATTTTTATTTCCATATTTATTTATTATTTTTGTAATCGAATTTTGCTTGTACTAAACAACCTTAATTCTTGATTTGAGAAATGAAGATCATAAATTTTGCAGTTTCATCCATAGAACTGCCCATTCATAGCCTTTCTGTGGTCGTGACAAGTCACTTCGGGTTCAATGTTTCAAAAAAAAAGTACATTAAAAAATGAGAATTCTTTATGTCATCCTTAGCTTAAAATAACACAAGTCAAGTTTTTTCGTGTACATGAATATTTACTTTTTTGTTACTTAAAAGTAGAAAAAAGTCAGATTTTCAGAGACTATCATACTAATGAAAGAAATGCAGAATACTTCATCAAACTGGATACTGGTGCAATCCTTTAGAGCAAAAATAAGATAAGCAAAAACAATGACTCGTAGAGAATTTTCAGATTCATATTGGACAAATGCCATTCTTGATCAAACACTTTGCGATTTCTTCTCTTCACTGGTTTCTTTTATTACAGAAATTGCACTCACGCTCAGTTGATCCAACTGTTGAACCACTAGGACGCGTGAGTTTGAGCAGCCTTCTGAAATTACAGAGAGAAACGAGTCATCAGTGCATTGTCCCATTTCACATTTTGTACTGAAAATCTAATAAGGTAACAATACCCGTTTTTGCTCCTCGATGTCTGCCCTGAGAAGGGAATAGATTGCAACTCCTGCAATAGCTATTTCAGTGCCAATCCCAGTTTATGTGGAGATTCTATTGCCTGAATTTTTTTCGCAAATCTTAGAACTAAGGTGTAAAAATAAATTTAAGCAAACACGCAGCTTCAGACGTTCAAAGTTCGAAAATAGATAATTATAATCAAAAGAACATGAAAATTCCAAGGAACGGAATCAGGAATGCGAAACCTATGAAAATCTTTTGAAAAATGAAATTTGCACCTCGAATTTTAAATTATCGTCTATCAGGAAGCTAAGTAAGTACTCTGTTGGACGTACCTAATTGTACAGATGATAGAACATTCCAATCCAGAACAGATCGGACAAGAAGTCGTTTGGACCAACTTTAGCAATTGCATACTTGATTCCATACTGCATCAGCTGAGGACCCTCAATCTGAAAGCAAAAATGAAAAAAAGGTCAAAATATTTATTTTCAAGAATCAACATATTAGATCTATACAAAACTCACAAATATTGCTGGTGGGAGGCAAAACAGGAGAGCTATTATTGAAATGTACGCGTATACACACATTCGTGCTGTCGATTCCCGTCTGGCACAGACAATTTTCTTTTTTGTAAGAAAACGGGGCATTGCAGACAATTATTTGAAAATATTAGCGTCGTCAATGAATTGCACGTTTTTTTTTCGTATGTAATTCTAACAACGTATGAACTTGTGAAAGATCTTACCATTGCTTTCTTCGAATAAATACTTTTGTACGCAAAACGCAATGTTCGAAATCATTGCACTAATGAAGCCATCCAGTTAAACGAAAGTTCCGTCAGTGATAGTTGAATTTAAGAGAGAAAA